TCGAGAACAGTACACCGAATCGTTTGCTTTTTATCATAATTTAAGGAAGCGTCAAAGCTTCCACGCTTCGCGCGAGAATGGGAAACTGAATTCAGACAAATACGGCTTATTAAAAGTCGAAAACGGTACAGCGAATCGTTTTCTTTCTCTTATAATTTGAGGAAACTTCAAAACTTTCGCGCTTCGCGCGGGAGGGGGAAGCTTCATTCAGATAAGGATTAAGAGTCGATAACAGTACAACGAATCGTCTACTTTTTCTCATAATTTATTGAAACGTCAAAGCTTCCGCGCTTTGCGCGGGAGGGGGGGGGAACTGAATTCAGACAAGGATTAACAGTCGACAACAGTACATCGTATCGTCTGCTTTTTCTCATAATTTAATGAAGCGTCAAAACTTCCACGCTTCGCGCGAGAATGGGAAACTGAATTCAGACAAATAGGGCTTATTAAAAGTCGAAAACGGTACAACGAATCGTTTTCTTTCTCTATATTGTGATGACACGCCAAAAATTCCGCACTTCGCGCGGGAGGGGGAATCTTCATTCAGATAAGGATAAAGAGTCGAGAACAGTACACCGAATCGTCTGCTTTTTCTCATAATTTAATGAAACGTCAAAGCTTCCGCGCTTTTCGCGGGAGGGGGAACTGAATTCAGACAAGGATGAACAGTCGAGAACGGTACAGCAAATCGTCTTCTTTTTTATAATAATTTAATGAAACGTCAAAGTTTCGCGCTTCGCGCGGGAGGGGGGGGGGAATCTTCATTCAGCCAAGGATTAACAGTTGAAAACGGTACAATTAATCGTCTTCTTTTCCTAATAATTTAAGGAAACGTCTAAGCTTCCGCGCTTCGCGCGGGAGGCCCATCACCCACACCCCCCTAATGAGCGCGCTTTTAAGTAATTCTCTTGCTCACTACCGCCCCTCCCTTAAATAAGATTCTAGCTCCGCGCCTGCATTAAAATATATAGCTATGATGCTGACTAAATTGAAGAAATAATTCGTATATTTATGTCGTCGAGGAAAATGACAATTTTGCGCATATGGAAGTACTATAGATAGTCCATAAAAAAAAACAATTTCGCCTTCGGCCCCAGGTTTATAGGGTTGAATTTGTAGATTTTCGAAGTATGTGTCACCAATCATTGGTTCATTTTTTTTAAATTTTTGTCTTTCGGATAACATTGTGAGTTTAGGGATTCCCACAACGACATAGCACATTGTATAATTTAAATTTCATTATTCAGGTCCGTTGTTCATCGCGCGCTCATTTCTATTGTATCATTACCAGTGTGTCACTTATGCCTAGGTCACATTTGCTCTACGACTAGGATACGGCGGCCGTACCCCCCCGAAATCGAGAGATACTTGCGGTGACCTCAGGGTCACCCTAGGGCGTATCCCTATCTTTACAGGTCGTACGGGTCGCCGTGGGATTTTAACGCGGAGTTAAAAGTGTTTTCATTTCTAGGTTCGCTTTAGCGATTAGACACCCCGTAGCCATGCCGTAGAGTGATTCCAAGGCGACCGTACGTCGCGCATACGGTGGCCTTGCGTTTTATATTCTACAGGGGTCAAGCGGTAACATCATGGTCGCACGGTCGCCGTATGGCCCCCCTCAGCCGCCTTGCGGCTACCTTGCGTCTGCCTTAGCAGTTGTCAAAAAGCTACGGCGGTCGCATGCAGGGACGCCCTAGGCGACCGTGCGTCATCACTTCAAAGGCCGTACGGCAGCCTGAAATCTGCTGTCACCACAAATTCAAACTACGCCGTGCGCCTACCCTATATGTGACGCACCGTGCATGGGAATGCTGCGGCAGTCCTATAATTGCTATTGACCGTAGATATTTTGGACCGCACGTGACCTAGGCATATAAGTCTCTTTCACACATGATTTGCGTAGAGTTGCTGGTGTGGCGTACCGACTACGCCGAAATTATGCTGCGTATTCATGAAAAAATGTTGCTTCGGCGTAGTCCTTGCGTAGGTTATGCGTTGACTGGCATACGAAGGCGTATGGTTACGTACCCTGTGCATAGGCACCGCGTACCTACGACGTATGCAATAGGCGTACCTACGCGTACGATTGTGTATAACAAGTGTAGGGTTGCGTTTGTTAACGTAGGCCTGACGGTACGTAACACTACGCAACTGTACGCATAGCCCGGTGTGAAAGGGGCTTTACAATGTGTCACCCATCATTCGGTCTTTTTTTGGATTGTATAGGTTCTTTCAGATAAAACTGTGAGTGTAGGGATTCCCCCACATTGAAACCCCGCATTGAGTGTGGGGATTCCCCCAACGACATAGCACAGAGTATAATTCAATTGTCAGTTTCACTTTAATTCTATTTACAATGCAAACAAAAAAATTATGTAAAATTCATATTATATTCCTTAAATGCAAACAAAAACTTGTAATTTTCTCCTATTCTCAAATGATAAGATACATGTATACGGCTACGGTGTTGACAAAATGAGTCAAAGTGGACCATGTATTCAAAAAATCATGCTTTTATCTTAATTTTTTATTCTCAAAACCAGACCCAAATAGAATCAGATATATTATTTTCACTAAGGCGAGGCGTCAAAAATAAATATACCAGCCAGCGGCAGCTAACTGCACTTGTGCCTCCTGGCTGCATTTTTTAAATTAGCTCAGCCGGCTACCGCTGGCGGTAGGACCCTCAATTAACTCATGATGTCATCATAATGGTCTCCGAACAAAAGCATGCGCCGGCTGCCGCCTTTCGAATGGAAACCGAGCCTCAGATCCCAGCCTGGCGCAAGCCGGCTGGGCTAAAAAGTGAAAAATAATTGCCCCAGCCAGGCTTCGGCCGTAATTGCAGCCTCGATGCGCCAATACGTGAGGCGGCAGCCTGCTGGTATCGATATTTTTGACGCCTCGCCTAAGTATTTTAGCTGTGGCATTACATGATCATCAAATAAAAAGAAGGCAGAAGGCTTCAGAAAGAATGGATGAAATCAATTATCCTTAATTGGCATTTAGTTTAAAACAATTTACACATTTTTTTCTCTAGAAAGAATTAAAAGAAAAATAGTAAGATCAAGGACGTGATAGAGAAGGACTGGAATCAAGCAGCTCTCCTTTGACCCCATGCTCCAAGCCGCCGAAAAATTATGTGCTAATCTGCAACTGTTGACCAGATAGAGATAAAAGAGCGCATGAATTTCAGGATTTAGAATTCCTACATCAGAAAACTGTTCGCTGTCTCTTTCAATGATTTCTCATCCATTGTTGAATGTGTAAAGAGTAGAACAAGCGAACACAAACCTGAGTAATTTCATCCTTTTTTTAACTTCAAAAATACAAAAACAAAAACAAAAACACGCATTAGTAAACTTAATGTTATTGATGATTGTAAATCATGGAACAAATAACAGGACATTAAAACATGCACAAATTAGCGCATTATCCTAAAACTCCTGCCTAAACTATTGAGTTTTTGTCAGGATGTAATTTTTCTTTTACCAAGTCCGGCACACAAATTATAGGAGGGACAGAGTTCTAAATTTGAAAAATTGTTTGATGCACTATTCCCAATACAATCCCCATATAAAGTTTTTTATTTACACTGAAATTTTACCGGTTATTTAATATTTTGTAACAAATGTTAAGCTAGTGCCTGGTTTCCGAAAGTCCCCGCAGTGGAAGCGCGGTTCGGAGCACGGAACTACAAAGCCAAGTGGAATGTTACACATCCCCTTGTTACGCTTTAGAACTCACGAATGCGTTTGAATAAATTACAAGAGTTTCGCCACCTTTCTTTAACCTCCCTGCTAATACTTGCTGCTGTAAAGCACGACTCATATCCTACTGTGAAATACAGACGTAAAAGGCGCCGATACATGGTATTACCAGGGTTAAAACACCTCCCTGGTATTACCAATAGCCTTTAATTATGCGAAGTACTAACAGTGTGTCACTAATCATTTGGTTTCTTTTGGATTTGTTTGATTATTTTGGAAAACTTTGTGGGTGTGGGAATTCCCCCAAAACGACATAGCACAGTGTATTGCTAATAAAAACCACTGTAAAAACACACCAAACCGCACGCAGACCTCACACTCACGTAGACACATACACATGCACACATAACTACAGAAAAATATTCTGCACAAACAGATCCCTTTCAGAGTGCCATGGCAAACTTCGTTCGGCAAGGATCACATGTAACTGTTGTCATACATTGTAATAAACAGATAACACATTATGTAAAAAGTAAGAAAAATTATGTTCCATTCAGAGATTTCATCTAAAGTTTTAGAAAATAAGAAAAAAATGAATAAAAGAAAACCAAGAATATCGGTATTCAAACATCATAATTTTGATATATTTTAACTTTCATTTTATGTAAATAAAATGCAAGTAAGATACATATTATATTCTGTTAATGCAAACAAAACGTGTAATTTTCTCCTAATTTCTCAATCGATTTAATAGGATACATGTATTTGGCTATGGTGTTGACAAAATGAAAAACAGACAGAGGAAGGGCCCAACACATGGTGTTACCAATTGCCTATACAGTGTGAGTCCAAAAAAAGTTTACATCTAGAAAATTACTAATTAAAAATCTTCTATGAACAGTAAATTATTATACATCTTATAAAAGAGTGTTTTATCCTTAATAATTTGGTATCATATTTGTACGGTGTGTGTTCACGCTTGGATAAACAGTAGGCATTGTTTGCGAGAGTGCAAAAATCGACTTGCGCCAAAGTTGCTTATGTGATGTTTGAATAAAACAATTGGGATTTGGGTTTTAATTCGGTCTTTGCAGATCCAAATAACATTCCTAACAAAATTAATAATGCCACACATATCAAATATCGAATATCAAATACCAACAAACATTTGTGCGCGTGGGTGTGTGACTTTGCTTCTGCAAAAAGCATATGCAATGCATTTCATTTGATACATTCAATTCATTCCCTCACTCCGCTAATCCCAACATAATACATACTGTAGGCATCACTTAAATATGTCACTGTACAAATACATGTAGAATGAACACAATGGTAATCATAAAAGAGATAAGCAGTACCTTTTACAATTTCATTGCGTTTTTGCAGGCCAGGTGGTAATTTATTTTGCCCACAAAACTTATATATTGGTCTCGGAAAATGTCAGATAAGTTTTCAGAAGGCCATCGAGACCAGTAATTGAGGTCCATCTCGCTGCTCAATCTCGCTGGCCATCCGAAAAGCAACGAATGTTTTATTTTAATACGAATTTGAAATCTCCATTTCCTAAAGCAAATCCTACCCCTTTTGACACAACATATTATTATAAACATAATAAATGTCTACTCTTTTATTCTCATTATATTTTAATAAATCTTCATCACTTTGAAGTTAGGAAAATAATGTTGGAGTTCATAAAGCCACGGAAAGGTAAGAAAAGGACCAGGATAAATTAGATCTCCTGGCGGCGTGTACCAGGCGCGGATCCAGGGGGGGGGCCGAGCGGGCCTTGGCCCCCCCCCCCCCCGCAAAAAAAAAAAAAAAAAAAAAAAAAGAAGAAAGAAAAGAAGAAAGGAAAGAAAGGAAAGAAAGAGAGAGAAAGGGAAAGAAAGAAGAGGAAGAAGAAAAGAAAAGGGGGAAAAAGGAGATCGGGGGGGGGGGGCGAAAGGGCCTTGCCTCCCAGGCTGTTGACCCCCCCCCCCCTCCCCCCAATCAAAAAAATAAGAGAGAAGGAAGGAAAGGGAAAGAAAAAAGGAAAAGAGGAGATACTGGCGTACCGATGGGGGGGGGGGGCTTGGGGGAAATCAAATTCAAACGTGGTTTATTTCTAATTCCACAACGGTGGATTACAAATAATGCTGATATGACATAATTTCCGAGATTTCCCTAAGACGGGCCCCTGAATGTTTATCTGACCGCAGACGCGTAGCCAGGGGGGGGGGGAGGGGGGGGGGGGGCGGTCCCCCCAAATCGGAAGAGGACGTAGGAAGAAAAAGGAGCAGACAAAGAACATCTTTGAAATTCAGACAAGGATTAACAGTATAGAGAACGGTACAACGCATCGGCTTCTTTCTCTAATAATTTAATGAAACGTCACAGCGTCGCGCAGGAGGGGAGGGGGGGGGACTGAATTCAGACAAGGATTAAAAATCGAGAACGGTACAACGAATCATCTTCTTTCTCTCATAATCTTATGAAACGCCAAAGCTTCCGCGCTTCGCGCGGGAGGGGGGAACCTGAATTCAGACGAGGATTCAGAGGCGAGAACGGTAATACGAACCTTAAATGGCTTAATGAAACGTAAAAGCTTCCGCGCTTCGCGCGGAATGGAGGGGGAACTAAATTCCGATGAGGATTATTTTCGAGAACGGTACAACGAATCGTCTTCTTTCTCTAATGATTTAATGAAAATTAAAAGCTTCCGCGCTTCGCGCGAGAGGGGGGAACCTGAATCTAGACGAGGATTAAGAGTCGAGAACTGAACAATGAATCGTCTTCTTCTTTAATAGTTTAACGAAGCGTCAAAGCTTCCGCGCTTCGCGCAAGAGGGGGAGGGGGGAGACTGAATTAAGACAAGGATTAAGAGTCGAGAACGGTACAAAGAATCGTCTTCTTTCTCTAATGATTTAATGAATCGTAAAAGCTTCCACGCTTCGCGCAGAAGGGGGAAAACTGAATTCAGACGAGGATTAAGAGTCGAGAACTGTACAACGAATCGTCTTGTTTTTCTAATGATTTAATGAAACTTAAAAGCTTCCGTGCTTCGCGCGGGAGGAGGGGGGAGGGAGAATCTAAATTCAGATGAGGATTATTTTCGAAAACGGTACAACGAATCGTCTTCTTTCTCTAATGATTTAAGGAAATTTAAAAGCTTCCGCGCTTCGCGCGGGAGGGGGGGGGGGAGGGGAAACCCAAATTCAGACGAGGATTAAGAGGCGAGAACGGTAATACGAATCTTTAATGGCTTAATGAAACGTAAAAGCTTCCGCGCTTCGCGCGGGATGGAGGGGGAACTAAATTCCGATGAGAATTATTTTCGAGAACGGTACAACGAATCGTCTTCTTTCTCTAATGATTTAAAGAAATTTAAAAGCTTCCGCGCTTCGCGCGGGAAGGGGGGGGGGGGGGAACCTAAATTTAGACGAGGATTAAGAGGCGAGAACGGTAATACGAATCTTAAATGGCTTAATGAAACGTAAAAGCTTCCGCGCTTCGCGCGGAATGGAGGGGGAACTAAATTCCGATGAGGATTATTTTCGAGAACGGTACAACGAATCGTCTTCTTTCTCTAATGATTTAATGAAAATTAAAAGCTTCCGCGCTTCGCGCGAGAGGGGGGAACCTGAATCTAGACGAGGATTAAGAGTCGAGAACTGAACAATGAATCGTCTTCTTTCTTTAATAGTTTAACGAAGCGTCAAAGCTTCCGCGCTTCGCGCAAGAGGGGGAGGGGGGGAGACTGAATTAAGACAAGGATTAAGAGTCGAGAACGGTACAAAGAATCGTCTTCTTTCTCTAATGATTTAATGAATCGTAAAAGCTTCCACGCTTCGCGCAGAAGGGGGAAAACTGAATTCAGACGAGGATTAAGAGTCGAGAACTGTACAACGAATCGTCTTGTTTTTCTAATGATTTAATGAAACTTAAAAGCTTCCGCGCTTCGCGCGGGAGGAGGGGGGAGGGAGAATCTAAATTCAGATGAGGATTATTTTCGAAAACGGTACAACGAATCGTCTTCTTTCTCTAATGATTTAAGGAAATTTAAGGAAATTTAAAAGGAAATTTAATTTGGGAAACCCAAATTCAGACGAGGATTAAGAGGCGAGAACGGTAATACGAATCTTTAATGGCTTAATGAAACGTAAAAGCTTCCGCGCTTCGCGCGGGATGGAGGGGGAACTAAATTCCGATGAGAATTATTTTCGAGAACGGTACAACGAATCGTCTTCTTTTTCTAATGATTTAAGGAAATTTAAAAGCTTCCGCGCTTCGCGCGGGAAGGGGGGGGGAACCTAAATTTAGACGAGGATTAAGAGGCGAGAACGGTAATACGAATCTTTAATGGCTTAATGAAACGTAAAAGCTTCCGCGCTTCGCGCAAGAGGGGGAGGGGGGAGACTGAATTTAGACAAGGATTAAGAGTCGAGAACGGTACAACGAATCGTCTTCTTTCTCTAATGATTTAATGAATCGTAAAAGCTTCCACGCTTCACGAGGAAGGGGGGAAAACTGAATTCAGACGAGAATTAAGAGTCGAGAACTCGACAACGAATCGTCTTCTTTCTCTAATAGTTTAATAAATCGTAAATTTTTTCCGCGCTCCGCGCGGGAGGGGAAAAATTAAATTCAGACGAGAATTATTTTCGAGAATGGTACGACGAATCGTCTTCTTTCTCTAATAATTTAATAAAACGTCAAAGCTTCCGCGTTTCGCGGAGGAGGGAGGGGGGAAATCGCCCCTCCCTGCACCGACCCCCCCCCCCCGCATTACGTCACTGTTGGTCACTATTACGTACCAATATTTGGCTCGCATAATTTCAAATTTGGGCCCCCCCCCCTAAGAAATCCTGGATCCGCGCCTGGCGTGTACCATTTGGAATATCCTAGGACAATTCGGATTCTCCACATCAGTCCATTCTGTCGGAGGAAATGTAGAAAACTCCACAACCACGAGATGCAGCCACTACAAGGAGATAAGAATGTGAACAGATGTAATGTGTGCAGTTGTCGGTCCGCTGGCGGCCATTTTGAATTGACAACTTGATTATGTAACCAGTCGAGTATCATCCTTTCGGCGTGCACGTTAGTGATACCTTCTGATTTGGGGCATGTAGCCATGAACATGCCGTCGACGCGCATGTTGGGAAGTCGGTGTCCATGTGGGGATGAGGACGAACGACCGTCGTGATCGTAGGGTACCCGGTAGTAGTCTAGGGAGACCCCCGCGTAGGTCTTCCACGTGCTTGCTGCAAAGCGATGCGCCAGGCTCCAGGACAAGTTCTCAAGAAAGTGGTAGTCGTGATCCATCGATGCTGCTAAAAAAAAACATATATATTTCTAATTCGTATTATTTTCATTAGTATTTTTTTGGGGGGGGGGGGGTGGGGGGAGGGGGGTATTTATTCTATTCATCATAAAAATCATATATACAATGCATACAAAGTTTGAACAAATTGAAATTTGAAATACATAAATACATGTAAAAAGGTAAATTTACAGATAATGAGAATACAATAAAATTAACAGGAAATAAATTCAGAAAGCAAATTTATGTCGAATGAGGGGTCAACAAAAAGCATCTAGCCTTGTTGAACATTGACCCCTAAAGCCCTTTACACACTGGCGGAATAAGGGGTCACTTCATCTTTTTGAAACTTAACCCCCGAATGTGCCCCCCCCCCCCCCTCCCTCCTACTGTTCAAAATCTACGACTACCGCACAACCGCTGCAGATGGCGACTTGCCTTTTCGTGACCTTTTCTTTTCAAGTTATTGTATCGCAACTTTTGAGACAGTTCGCAAAAATCGATCGAATTTACCCCCCCCCCCCCCAAAAAAAAAAAAAAGGCACAGCCTGCCCTCAAAAAGCCAAGTCTAAGTGCAGTGTTTTTTGTATTAAAAGGTTATAATGTTTTATTTTTTGTTCAGGTATGAAGCAGGCTTGATTCTAAGGAGAAGGCTTACAAAGGCTACAATCCCCTCCCCGAAAAAAAATGATTCATCTTATTCCTTTTATGATGTATTAGACTATAAGCCTTTATATGTTATGTTTCTATCGCGAAATGTATTTTTTACCTCTCACATTTTGGATACACGAACAGATAATGCACCCCAGTTTGAAGGGTTAATTGCATGTACTAGATATAGAGAGTTTGGAGGTTTAAGAAACGAAAATTGTCTAAAGCTCGATCGCTTTGCTCCCTCACATCAAGATCTTGCAATTTCATGCCAAAATGAATAAATACCGTTTTTAAAACGAAAAAAGGTTAGAAAAGATGTAAATCTAGTTGCTTTGCTCCTAATTACGCCTTCCTTTGCTACAGTGTAGAAAATAATAATTGGGAAGGGTCAGCATTTCAAAGAAATCTTAGGTTTCTATTACCATGCCAACTTCTTTGACTACGTTGATCTAGAGAGTTCCTTAATTGTTCGCCGCAGCCGAAGAACAATTGAAAAAAAAAGTCGCTTTTTTAAGAAATTCGCAACTCTACTGCCCTTTTTGCAGTCATAAATGTACAAAGTGGGGCAGGACTGCATACGGGCTCCCCGATTCCCACACGGAATTGTTAGTTCCAATAATTTATGCGAGCAACCATCACCTCATATTCGGACAGTGACTTGCCCAAATATTCCGATATTTTGGTGCCTGTATATTATTAAATTCGCGCAGCAAAGTGCCCGAATATACTAATAATAATTACTTATGATACTTAAAACTAATACGGATGGATCGCTCTATTCAGAGCCATTATTTATGGGCTCTGATGATAACATTTAAAAGAAATCAAAGTTTTCATTTTTGCTCCATCCCTACGCCCTCCCGCAGAATCTAAAAGCAGGATGAGCCTTGGCAACGGAATGCCAGAAATCCACATATTCTGGCAGCATGTATTTTGATGACGAAGTAATGAAGTAATGAATATATGTGTGTGTGTGTGTGTGTGTGTGTATGCGTGTGAGCGTGCGTGTGTTTTTAGATTCAAAATACCGTCAAGTAAAGTTATGATATCATATACTACCAGTGTTTCTATTCAAGGACATTACTCAATCATTAGAAAAAGGGGGAAAATAAATTACACTGGCTTATATCGACCATATTAAAGGTAGTGTATCCATTTTGCAGCCAACATCAAATTATTGATCGTTTGGAATTTTCGCAACGCGTTAAACAAAATTTGCGTAGAAAATAGTCAGATTTTCAGACCCTTGCACTTTATGGTCGTACGTTTTGTGCTGCGCAAAGATTCGATCAGCTTAATTTGGACCATTCCAAGAAGTTAATTGATTTATATGTACACAAACTCATGTACCCTTTACAGCTCATTTTATGTATGTGATTTCCAAAGAAAAAAGGGGTCAGTCAGTCACTCATTAGTGTCTGACAATGAAGTCTAGAAAGTAAACGGGTTTCCTTGCATGCTTTGAAGACACTGCCAACGTTTAAAGGGATCGTTTAACAATGTTAAATCTGACATACACGGTCCTACATGTTACCAGTGTCTGTGATTTGATGTAATATTGAAGCCCGAAAAAAATCGCGCTTCAAAATGATCAAGAAGTGCCTCAAAAAAGTAAAAATCTTCGAGTGACCGGTTTTACCATACTCGTTTTCCCCAACAGACTGTAGTGTTATGAAAACCGTCAGGCGAACGGTTTTCAAAATTTGTAATTCCAATCATTAATAGACAAGCGGTTTGAGTTAAGTCGCGTTATGATGATATATAAATGCGTTCATAACTTAGCACCTTCTTACCTTCAGGTAGGCTTAATCAATCCTAATGATGTGCATGAGTATCATACAAGGCAAATAGACAGTGGATGTTTACGTGTGCCTAGATTTCACACTGATTGTTATAAGTGTAGCCAGGCGCGGATCCAGGATTTCTTAGGGGGGGGGGCCCAAATTTAAAAAATATGCGAGCCAAATATTGGTACGTAATGGTGACCAACAGTGACGTAATGCAGGGGGGGGGGGAGTCGGTGCAGGGAGGGGCGAGTTTCCCCCTCCCTCCTCCGCGAAACGCGGAAGCTTTGACTTTTCATTAAATTATTAGAGAAAGAAGACGGTTCGTTGTACCGTTCTCGAAAATATTTCTCGTCTGAATTTAATTTTTCCCCTCCCGCGCGAAGCGCGGAAAATTTTTGATTAATTTATTTAATGATTAGAGAAAGAAGACGATTCTTTGTAGAATTCTCGACTCTTAATCCTCGTCTGAATTCAGTTTACCCTTTCCGCGCGAAGCGTGGAAGCTTTTATGATTCATTAAATTATTAGAGAAAGAAGCAATTCGTTGTACCGTTCTCGACTCTTAATCCTTGACTAAATTCAGCCCCCCCTCCTCCCCCTCCTGCACGAAGCGCGGAAGCTTTGACGTTTCATTAAACTATTAAAGAAAGAAGGCGATTCGTTGTACCGTTCTCGACTCTTAATCCTCGTCTGAATTCAGTTTCCCCCCCCCCCCTCTCGCGCGAAGCGCGGAAGCTTTTAATTTTCATTAAATCATTAGAGAAAGAAGACGATTCGTTGTACCGTTCTTGACTCTTAATCCTTGACTAAATTCAGTCCCCCCCCCCCTCCCCTCCTGCACGAAGCGCGGAAGCTTTGACGTTTCATTAAACTATTAAAGAAAGAAGGCGATTCGTTGTACCGTTCTCGACTCTTAATCCTCGTCTGAATTCAGTTCCCCCCCCCCCCCCTCTCGCGCGAAGCGCGGAAGCTTTTAATTTTCATTAAATCATTAGAGAAAGAAGACGATTCGTTGTACCGTTCTTGACTCTAAATCCTTGACTAAATTCAGTCCCCCCCCTCCCCTCCTGCACGAAGCGCGGAAGCTTTGACGTTTCATTTAACTATTAAATAAAGAAGGCGATTCGTTGTACCGTTCTCGACTCTTAATCCTCGTCTGAATTCAGTCCCCCCCCCCCCCCTCTCGCGCGAAGCGCGGAAGCTTTTAATTTTCATTAAATCATTAGAGAAAGAAGACGATTCGTTGTATCGTTCTCGAAAATAATCCTCGTCGGAATTTAGCCTCCCCCCTCCATCCCACGTGAAGCGCGGAAGCTTTTACGTTTCATTAAATCATTAAAGATTCGTATTATCGTTCTCGCCTCTGAATCCTTGTCTGAATTCAGGTTCCCCCCTCCCGCGCGAAGCGCGGAAGCTTGACGTTTCATAAGATTTTGCGAGAAAGAAGACCTTTCTCGATTGTTAATCCTTGTCTGGGGCGGCGGCGAAGCCGGCCCATGAAGCTCAGAGGTTTTAGGCGTTTAATTAGGGTCAGATGAGCATTTTTTTATAACTTATTATTTTGTGACACTGGCAGGTCACTATTTGGCATGGGGTCCAGGGGGCGGAGCCCCCCCCCCCCCCCAAATCAGGGGTTTAGGCATTAAATTACCGTCAGATGAGCATCTAAGGGCCCGCCGTAGGGCCCAAGGTGCAATCAAGGGGGCAGAGCCCCCGGAAGTATTAATAGGGGTTTTAGGCAATTAATCACGGTCAGATGAGCATATTTTGATGCCTCATTATTTTTTAACACTGGCAGTTAACTTTTCTTTCTATCTAGCTCTCATTCTATTTTATTTCTCTTTAATATACTTTTTCAAAAAAAGTGGGGGGGGGGGGGGAGCTCGAGGCTCCCAATCCCTGAAGTTCCTCGGGCCCTGACATGTAGGAATCTCAAGAATCACATTTCTTGCCTGGCTGCAAATTTAGGAATTTTTCATTTTCCAACAAACACATACAAACGTATAATTTACTAAAAAGTGAGGAAAAATCTCGGAAATGATGTCATTTCAGCATTATTTGTAATCCACCGTTGTGGAATTAGAAATAAACCACGTTTGAATTTGAATTTCCCCCAAGCCCCCTCCCCCCCCCCCCTCCCCCTATTAGTACGCCAGTATCTTCTCTTTTCCTTTTTTTCTTTCCCTTTCCTTCTTTCTCTCTTATTTTTTTGATGGGGGGGGGGGGGGTCAACAGCATGGGAGGCAAGGCCCTTTCGACCCCCCCCCCCCCGATCTCCTTCTTCTCCCTTTTCTTTTCTTCTTCCTCTTCTTTCTTTCCCTTTCTCTTCTCTTTCCCTTTCCCTTCTTTTCCTTTCTTCTCTCTTTTTTTTTTTTTTTTTTTTTTTTTTGCGGGGGGGGGGGGCCAAGGCCCGCTCGGCCCCCCCCCTGGATCCGCGCCTGAGTGTAGCCCAATTGTTTCTTCCATATTTGAATGGAATAAGCTAGATAATTCGTTGAGAACGGCTTCCTCTGTCAATTCATTTAAGAGATTGTTTAAACAAAGTTGTAATTTGTGAATGGCTCAGCCGAACATACACTACGTGCATGTTCTGTAATATTAACATGACTTATTCACATAACTGCGACTTAATTAATATTTTCCTATTGACATTACTGTTTACTAGGTTAATGATATATGTTTATTTTGCAAACGAGTATTATTTTTATAACTGTTCTGTATAAATGTTATAGACGATGTAAATATGTTCATTCAGGGCCCCATGGAAGACCACTACTTGTTGGTGAATGGGCTACCCTGTCAAAAGAATAGAAATAAATAAATTAACAAATATCTTGATAATCAGACAGGCGATCGGCTTGTAAAAGTCATGGAGTTCCTGACTGACCTAAAGGTTTATGATTATCATTGCAGCATGAGCTTAATCAAGGATTATTTCTAAAGGATCTAAGACAAAGTTACCGGATCCCTTTAAATTTCACAGATAGGACATACGTGGCATATTCCTAGTTCCTGCAAAATTCATTAATTTGATGTTGGCTGCAACAGAAACATACTATCTTTAATATTGTTCGATAGTAGACATAAACTATTTGATTTAATGAAATATGAAGTTAAAAAACAGACGAAGACATAACAAAATAGTAGAGAATTATTGGAGGACACAAATGAAAAAGTGGTGGTATTTAACAAAAATTCAATTAAAAACTGGTATTGTACTTAGTCTGGATTTAGCACAAATAATAAAATATACATGCATCATTAATACATTTTAAATTATAGAATGATCTACATCTCAATTATATTTTAATATAATACGCGTTATACGTACCCATAGTAGTGAAAATGTGTTGATTTTGAAAGGTCCCGATATAATTTTTTAGACCTATATGGCCTATAATCGTCCAATTAGTTGAATTTTTAATAATGAATGCTAAAGGTGAACTATCATGTTTTGTTGACTGTCCAGTAGATCAGCTGCTGTCAAACTATTGCCAGAGCCAGAGTATATGTACTAGCTGTTGTAAGGCACGAGTCATGTCCGATTGTGAAATACAAGTGTTGTCTTGTACCACGTTCTTACAGTGTGTCACCAATCATTGGTTCATTTTGGATTTTTTTTTGGTTTTGGGGTTTTTTGTTGTTGGTGTCTTTTGGATAACATTGTGAGTTTGGGGATTCCCACAAGGACATAGCATTGTCTGTCATGTTCATAGTGTATGGGCCTAGTCGCAGGGACGCCCTTAGGCGACCGTGCGTCATCACTCACTAGGAACATGACAGACAATGAAAGCGGACAAAATATACAGTTGCTCAGGTAGACAAAGGAACATCCCTTCACTGCTATTATGTAAAAATGTGTAGAACAGGTGAATATGCATGTGACACCTGTTCTACACATTTTTACATAATAGCAGTGAAGGGATGTCCCTTTGTTTACCTGAGGAACTGTATATTTTGTCCGCTTCCATTGTCTGTCATGTTCATAGTGACTTCGAAGGCCGTACGGCAGCTGCAAATTTTCTGTCACCACAAATTCAAACTACGCCGTGCGCCTATCCTAGCATATGTGACCGTGGGAATGTTGCGGCAGTCCTATAATTGCTATTGGCCGTGGATAATAGGGACTTTTAGATTGAGTGGACGAGAACACGACGAACGCCAACTGATCATGCGTGTCAACGTACTGAACTGCCCATGTTGACTGCAATTATAATTTTTTTAGATTGCACTCGACGATATACATATATGCAGGAACAGGAAGTAACATTATGAATATGACAGACAAAGAAAGAGGACAAATATACAGTTCCTCATTCTACCCTCAACAATAGGCCATTTTCGTAATATAACCGAATTTAATGCATAGGTCTTTGTGAAGTGCCTCAATACAAATTATTTAATTCACCTGATAGGAATAACAGTACTTCTATAGTAAGAATGCAACTGCATATATTAGGTGTTGCTAGGTAGGTCAAGCCATAATGTTTGTCCAACCTGGCATCAACTAATGTATGCAGTTAGGATTCTGTCTATTGAAATACTATTATTCTTATCAGGTGAATGAAATAGTTTGTATTGAGGCACTTCACAAAGACCTATATATTAAATTCGGTTACATTACGAAAATGGCCTATATTGCTACATGGTAGAACATCCCTCCACTGCTATTATGTAAAAATGTGTAGAACAGGTGAATATGCAAGTGACACCTGTTCTACAAATTTTTACATAATAGCAGGGAATGGATGTTCCTTTGTCTACCTGAGGAACTGTATATTTTATGCGCACCGTACCGTACTAGATTAAGGAAAATCAAGGTTGACGCATTCTCGATCGCCGACTGAGACGACGTGACGCATGCGCAGTGCCTTAAAATGACGTCACACGTTGCAGTCAAAGCTGTCAACGTGCAAATCTAAAAGTCCCTAATTTGGACCGCACGGCCGCCGCGCATGTGACACCTGTTCTACACATTTCTACATAATAGCAGTGAACGGATGTTCCTTTGTCTACCTGAGGAACTGTATATTTTGTCCGCTTTCTTTGTCAGTCATGTTCATAGTGAGGACAGTAAAGAATAAGTATTTTTTAAAGTTTGGTTAGTCTAAATGTATGTCCACCAGTGTCCACTTCTTTAATAATCAATCTAATGGAGCTCTCACACTCTGCCGTGTAGGCCTACCGTCCACCTGCCGGGCTATTAAAAAAAAACAGAGTCCAGAACGTTGGGTTTTGAGCGAACTTGTCCCCGGCCGCAAAAAAAAATTCATAAAATTAATCTTTTCACCGTTTCGTTGCCATCTTCTGACCGTTCTCACCGGGCGCTTACCGGGTGTTGAACGTGCTTCTACCGTCTTCACCGCCCAGATTGACTTTTGTTGAAAATTTTGGCCGTTTCCATACCGGGCCATACCGGGTCTCGAACGTGTGCACCGGGTTTGTAGCAGCCACCTACCAGTCACTTAGCGTCCCCTCACCGCTTGGAGCGTCCTGTGAGCGAGTCCCCGGACTGCTGACGTCATAACACGACTGCCATAAATACCCCGATTTGAACGGCAACGGTCAGTCCGCTCTCCATTTTTCATCACCGTTCCTTAACGGGTTATGAGCGTGTTGTGGAACGTGTTCACACAGTGTGACCGTTTTCATAACGTATTCATACCGTCCTCATACCGTTCAACACCGTCCTCTTGCCGCTTACTTGCGGCCGGTGCCAGCCGGCCAAAGTTTTGAACATGCCCGTCAACGTCCTATTAACGTGTTGCCCGCTTTGATAACGAACCACCGTGTGCCCTCGCCGTTCTCCACCGTCCGCGGACATTTTCGCGCACGGTGGCACACGGTAGGCCTACACGGCAGAGTGTGAGAGTCACTTAATATCACACGAATGGTCATACTTTGGGGTTCACTGCTCCTCGAACTGGTCTTAAATCATGATACTTTTCAAGAAACTACACTCTGTGCCCTGGCCCAGCGAAAAGAATCTGAAATGTAAAAGGTTCTTTAGTCTGCATCTGTAGTAGGGTCCATGGTTATACTAATACTTACTGCTGTAAAGCACGATTCAAATCATATTGTGAAATACAGACAGTACGTAAAAGGGCTCAATACATAGTATTACCAATAGCCTTCAATTATGCATACAAAGTACTAACAGTGTGTCATGTGGTTCCAAGCTGTTGGATTTGGTTGGTTATTTTGGGTAACTTTGTGGGTTTGGGGATTCCCAAACGACATAGCACAGTGTATAACTAATAAAAACCATCATAAAAATACACCAAACCGCATGCATACCTCACACTCGAGCAGACAGATACATGTCCACACGCATAACTACAGAAAAATATTCTAATGGTTGGTTGTTATTTTTTTTTACCTGACTGCTAAGAAAGCATAAATGCTGGTAAGTAAGCAACCAGACGGCCGACGGCTTTGGGTCCTCTCCGAGGGACATGGTAATGAGGATTAATGCCTTACAAAAGGGCACTAGCGCAATGACTTGGTTTCGAACCCGGGTCACCGGATTACGAGACCACTGGTCTACCGACTAAGCTATCGCGCCTCCTCTGCATAAACAGATCCCCTTTCAGAGTGCCATGGCAAACTTCGTTCGGCAAGGATCAAATGTAACTATCGTCATACAATCTCATTAACAGATAATATAGTATGTGTAAAGTAAGAAAAAGTATGTTTCATTCTGAGATTTCATCTAAAGTTTTTGAATATAAGAAACTAGATGGAATTTTGACTACGCGCAGTCGAAAATGATGCCTCCGCCATAGAGCAATTTAAACAAGTTTGGAGTTTAAATCTCCAGTGGTTCTTGAGATATCATGATAACAATCTCAATGTATGGAATTTCATAAGTTGACCTCTGTGACCCTTGACCTTTGACCTACGTGCTCCAAAATCTAATCAGATTGTCTTCCTATGGTGATACACACTATCATTAAGTTTGAAGTTTAAATCTCCAGTGGTTCTTGAGATATTATGATATGGTGATACATACTATCATTAAGTTTGAAGTGAAAATTCTCCAGTGGTTCTTGAGATATCGCGATAACGATCTCAATGTATGGAATTTCATAAGTTGACCTCTGTGACCCTTGACCTTTGACCTACGTGCTCCAAAATCTAATCAGATTGTCTTCCTATGGTGATACACACTATCATTAAGTTTGAAGTTTAAATCTCCAGTGGTTCTTGAGATATTATGATAACAATCTCAATGTATGGAATTTCATAAGTTGACCTCTGTGACCCTTGACCTTTGACCTACATGCTCCAAAATCTAATCAGATCGTCTTCCTATGGTGATACATACTATCCTTAAGTTTGAAGTTTTTACATCTCCAGTGGTTCTTGAGATATCATGATAACAATCTCAATGTATGGAATTTCATAAGTTGACCTCTATGACACTTGACCTTTGACCTACGTGTTCCAAAATGTAATCAGATTGTTTTCCTTTAGTGATACACACTATCACTAAGTTTGAAGTTTAAATCTCCAGTGGTTCTTGAGATATCATGATAACAATCTCAATGTATGGAATTTCATAAGTTGACCTCTGTGACCCTTGACCTTTGACATACGTGCTTTAAAATCTAATCAGATCGTCTTCCTATGGTGATACATACTATCCTTAAGTTTGAAGTTTAAATCTCAAATGGTTCTTGAGATATCGCGCTAACAAACTCAAGACAAGGAATTTCATAAGTTGACCTCTGTGACCTGTGCCCTTTGACCTACATACTCCAAAATCTAATCAGATCGTCTTCCTATGTTGATAAATACTATTCCCGAGTCTTAAGTTTAAATCTTAAATGGTTCTTGAGATATTGTGATAACGGTCAAACGGGACGGACGTACGGACGGACGTACGAACGGACAACCCGAAAACATGATGCCTCCGGCACCACCTTCGGTGGCGGAGGCATAAAAAAAGGAATAAAAGAAAACCAAGAATGTCGGTAATAAAACATAATTTTGTATAATTTTCACTTTCATTTTATTTACAATGTAAATTTCAAATAAGATACATAATATATTATGTAAATGCATACAAAAACGTGTAGTTTATCTCCTATTCTTAATCGATTTTATAGGATATATGTACTACATGGCTATGGTATTAACAAAATGATGGGGGGGGGGGGGGAAACCTCAGATACAGACAGTGAAAGGGCCCAACACATGGTGTTACCAATATCCTCTAATTGTGAATACTCACTCACATAGACAACTACAGAGAACATTACAAGATACATAAAGATTGGTGACAACTTGCAAATGCCTGAAACTATAAGGGGAACAATAATAACCCAGAATAGTAATAATTTTGGCTGTAAGGAGACATTCAAATGAGTAATAGGGGGATATGATTTCAATATCAAGGCCTGAATGAGAGTTCAAAAGAATGTTAGCTTTCATGTGTGAGTGCATGTCCAAACGATTTGATTTTTGGGGATTAATTTTTCACATACACACTTGTATGTACTATGTAGACATACCATAATAAATAGAACGTCGATGGCATAATCAATTACATTTTACATGCATCAATGGATCGTCATAAGCTGTATTCAAAGCTTGATGGAGATAAGCCACACAGATTTCAACTTCTATAAAGAAAGTAATATTTGAAGCTGACAGTTTCATTTTAAATAGTATGCCTGGCATTGAACCCAAAATATACAGAGAACAATATTTTGGGTTATAGGTTCCTTTTTCAATGAAGGACTACAATGTCCTTTATACACAGAACAAGATTCTTCCAATCTAAACATATACCTTCTATGTTTAAATAGGAAATTGCACTACCTATACAACTTATATAAAACTAAGAAAGATGATTGGGTAATGCATTTCTCCCAATTAATAAATAAAACTGTGTTGTCAGAATTTTCGGGTAAAAAGGTTTTATTTATTAATTTGCAAATAAGCATTACCCAATTATCTTTCACATGCCTCTTTATGGACGCCACAAAGAGGACATTAACTGATACTTAAATAAATTGATTTACAAATACATGTATAAAACGCTATAAATTTACACTGCAGTAATATACAAGAATTATTAAAGACTAGATTCTCCAAGGATAATTCAAAATCCATCATTCTGTATCTCATATTACGTAAAATTGGAACCAGGAGAGTGTTATCTCTGTCTTACAGTATACAAAGTAATATCCTCCTGGCTTGAAACGGATGATCTCAAGTTTTCAGCATTGTAGTTTTCTTTAAATAGAGATATCCAATCACCCCCCCCCCCCCCCGGGGGGGGGGATCATAACAAGAGAGAGATAGAGGGGCAATATGTAATAATTATTTTTTTAAATAACAATGGGAAAATGTAATTTCGACATTATTCAGATTTGAGACTAAAATACGTCTTACACGTTAAGTAAAGACTCATAAATAAGACAGATCATGGTACAACACTCTAAGTATACTTCGCATAAATACCATTTGTAATACAAACAGCGTCTTGACTAACATAGTACAGTATGCATGAGGAAGAGAACTATTGTAGTTCCACCTTTCTCTGTCATTGGATGCTGTTCCGCCGGTCACATCTGACCTAGGTCAAAACAAGACTCGTTATCCTGCAGAATGAGCAATAACAGTATATATTCAAACTCTATTCACACCCATGTGCAATAGCTCTTCTTCTTGATTACACTTGTACAGCTTTTATTTAGGTTCTTCTAAAGCTGTTAAATTTAAAGACATCACAACCATGAAGGTGAAAATAGACACGAGTTGAGCGACAGAGAGCTCTGGATGTTGGAACCGAAGAGCTAATGTCTTCCAACAACCATCTTGTGTTAGGCTTGTCTGGTATAGCAGCAATTCACACAGCTATAATTCAAACCTAAAAGCAAGCGAGTGATTGAAATGGTTTGGCATTAGGCACAAAGAGATTAAGTATCCAAGAAGTTGATCGCACAAAGGAAAGTGGTATGTTGCGAATGAAGCAGCACTCCCTATAAAAGCCATATGCTTCCTTGATCATGTGAATATCCAGTGGTGAACTACCCCACGGCATGTATATAGAGAATTGAATCATTGTTTACCGGATATCCTCTAGTTCTTCAGGGCTTCTGGTCAGGCTATTAAGGCTCGGAGGTAGATCCTTCAACAAATGTATTTGAACGTAGACAGAAAGCTGTATGCAACAGACACTCGCAATACTCGCAATAGAATCCAGGTGCACCCAACGGCCGTGGGTCGTGCAAATGTCTTTATCGAAATATATGGCAAAACAAATTTCCAATATTTGGTCGGCGTGTATTTTGATGACAGAGTAATATCTTTACTACAGTAATTTAAAGTGTCTTGTTTTGCTTTTTTATCAATTGTACAGTTATCTATTTAAGTTTGGGCGGGGGAGGGGCGCATTCTCAATGCTAGCCCCGAGCGCCAAATACGCCACTGTATAGTTCTGATTGTTATTTACTGTGATTTTTATTGTAAGCTAAAATTAAATGACATTGTAATGATATCAGAAGTCATTATTTGTAACATTTATAACACACCTCGTTTCTTCCGTGTTTATGATTCATGAATGTAGTATCAACACATTGATAGTCGTAAATAGATAGAAGCAGTAATTTTTACAATTATATAAAGTAGTTGCAGGCCAGGTGGCAAATTATTTGTCCCGCAAGACCTACTTATCGGTCACCAGAAACTTCAGATAACTTTTTAAAAGGCCAACGAGACCGGCAATTCAGTTTTATCTCGCGCTCAATCTCGCTGGCCTACCGAAAAGCAACGAAGGTTCTATTTCAATACGAATTTAAAATCTCCATTTCCTAAAGCAAACCCTACTCATTTTGACTCAAACTGTTATTACAATCTTAATAAATGTCTACTCTTTTACTCTGATTATATTTATTTATCTTCATCACTCTGAAGTTAGGATAATAATGTTGTGCGATTCTGTTAAGCCACGGAATGGTTACGTACGGACCAATACCTTTCCAAGGCGTGTACTCTTTGGAATATCCTAGGACGAACCGGATTCTCCCCATCAATCCTTTCTTTTGGAGGAGAAGTAAAAAATCCTCCAACCTCTCTATGCATCGACTACAAGGAGAAAAGAATGTGAACAGATGTAATGTGTGTACTTCTCCGTCTGATGGCGGCCATTTCGAAGTGTAAATCCGACTTTGTAACCATTTCAGTATCATCTCTTCGGCGTGCACGTTCCTGCCAACTTCGGGTCTCGGACATGTAGCCATGAACTCGTCGTCGACGCACACCCCAAAGCTGTCGGGTAGTCGGCGTCCATGTGAGGGAAGGGAAGAAGGACTGACGTGATCGTAGCATACCCTGTCTAGGGAGGCCGCCGCGTAGGTGTTCCACCCGCTTCGGATTACTGTATAGCGATGCGCCAGGCTCCTGAACAATTCCCGAAGAATTTTGGGGTCTTGATACATCGATGCTGCGTAAGAAATAACAGATATTTCTAAATTGTATTATCTTTGTTAGCCCTTTACACACTGTCGGATTTAAGAGGTCCGAGCATAAATTAGGAACGTATCCCCCGCAATGTGCCCCTTTCAAATTGTTATTCAAAATCAGTGGTGTATCTGGTCAGTGGGGAATGGGGCAAGTGGCACGTGACCCTAGCACTTTAAAGAGAGCAAAAACCACAAAAAAAATCGAGAGGTTACGCGTACAAAACAAAAAACGCAAAGAGAGAAAGAGAAAGGGGAAAAGGGAGAGAATCGTAAAGCTTTACCGCCACCCCTCCCCCCCCCCCCCCCATTCCTACTGTCCAAAGTCTACGACTACCAACCACGCAACCGCTGCAGATGGCGACTTGCCTTGTGTTTTTTTAAAACTTTTTCCTTTTCAAGTTATTATCTCGCAACTTTTAAGACAGCTGGCAAAACACGTCAAAACGTTCGGAGCTAAATGGACCCTATTCGAATTGAAGAAAATGAATCAGTCATGCTCTGTGCACACAAGAGATTACATATCCCGTATCTCTGTGCAGTCGGTATCGCTCCACCAATGTGCGTTGTATAGACTATAGACTATAGGCGACACAGTTCTCAAACTGAATCATCTCACCTAAAACTTTCATATTGCACCGGTTGTCTCCTTTTCGCTCGCGTGAACATTGCCAGCACAAACCACTGACCTCTACCTCCTGGACGGATCATCGCCCATTCCCATTCACTGTACGGTACGTACTGAAAGGCTGTATTGCCTGACCGTTCATAAATATTCATGTTTTTGCTAAACTCGGTAAAATGTTTGCCCCAGAATCTAAAAATAGGATGATTTTTGGCAACGGGATGCCGGACATTCACATATTCTGGCAGCATGTATTTAGATGACGAAGTAATGAAGTATTTAATATCTTTACTGTAAAGACATTGTCTTTTTTTCTCTCGCTCGTTTCACCCGCTTGTATGTACATTATTTTGTGCGGGGAGCAAAATATTATTTTTTCGTTTCTTGATTGCTTTTTAGAATTGTTCCTCTTCCTGGAAATCTGGCCCTTCTATACATAATTTTTTCCAAGCAATCAATGCTACCGATGAGCTTTAAAAATTGATTTTGCGAATACGTTGCAACTCTCATAAAGTCGGCTTTTGTTGGACGAAATGTAGGCTGTAGACACATACAATATGATTTAATGAAAATATGAAGTTAAAAAATCAGAAGAAAAACTAAATAGAACAGAAAACGTGGAGGACACAAATAAAAAGCTGGTAATATTGAAAAACAATTGAATTCAAAACTGGTACCGTACTTAGTCTGGATTTTGCACAAAATAACAATATATACATGCATCATAAATACATTATAAATTATAGAATGATCTAGAATATTCGTACATCTGACATACCCATATTGATGAAAATGTGTTGCTTTTGAATCGTCCCGATAGAACTGTGTAGATCTATTAGGCCTATAATCGTCAAATTAGTTCAATGTTTAATGATGTTTGATAAAGGTGAACTATTTTGCTCTGCTGGATCTCCAGTACACTAGCTGCAATGAATAGTCAAACTATATTTGCCAGATTATATTACTCGCTGTTCTAAGGCATGAGTGATATCCGATTGTGAAATACAGACAGTACTAGCTTGAAAGGCCCAATACATGGTATTACCAATAGCAGTGTGTCACCAATCATTTGGATCCTTCTGGATTTTTTGTGTTCTTTTGGATAACATTGTGGGTGTGGGGATTCCCGACGACATAGCACAGTGTATGATTTAGATTTCATTATTCAGGTCCGTTATTCATCGCGCATTTCGATCCACTTATATATCACTACCACTAATAAGAAAACATGATTAAAAAAACACACACATTCTCACATCAGGGCCTTTGTGGGGCACCTGATTGTAGGGTATTTCTGTGCGTTCCAGATATACCTTGTGGTCCCCTACTAGTGGGGTATGTACAACCTGGCGATAACAACCCGGCGGTGTGCTTACGATGTTACCATAAAAAAGTGTGCAAGTTTTAGCACACGCTCACAAAAAGTCATTTATGGGGTACCACTTCTAATGCCCCGCAGGGCATAGGACACCGAATATACAGTCATTTGAAAGACTTTACTCTGTGGGGTCCTGAAAAAATACCCCACAAAGTAAAAATGCCTCACAAGGGGTATGTGAAGCGCACATAAAACCCCACAAGAATGCTGAGGTGAGAGCACCCCAGCGCACACATACCTCACACCAACGCAGACACATACACACACACAAAACAGACATTGTCTTTTTTCTCTCGCCCGCTTCACCCGCTTGTATGTACATAATTTTGAGCGGGGGGCGAAATATTTTCTTCTCCGTTAATTGCTTGTTTTTAGAGGTGTTCCACCTCCTGGACATCTGGCCCTTCTATACATAATTTTTTCCAAGCAATCAATGCTACCGATGAGCTTTAAAAATTGATTTTGCGAATACGTTGCAACTCTCATAAAGTCGGCTTTTGTTGGATGAAATGTAGGCTGTAGACACATACAATATGATTTAATGAAATATGAAGTTAAAAAATCAGAAGAAAAACTAATTAGAACAAAAAACGTGGAGCACACAAATAATAAGCTGGTAATATTGAAAAACAATTGAATTCAAAACTGGTACCGTACTTAGTCTGGATTTTGCACAAAATACATGCATCATAAATACATTACAAATTATAGAATGATCTAGAATATTCGTTAGACATCTGACATACCCATATTGATGAAAATGTGTTGCTTTTGAATCGTCCCGATAGAATTGTGTAGATCTATTATGCCTATAATCGTCAAATTAGTTCAATGTTTGATGGTGTTTGATAAAGGTGAATTATTTTGCTCTGCTGGATCTCCAGTACATTAGCTGCAATGAATAGTCAACTATATTTGCCAGATTATATTACTCGCTGTTCTAAGGCATGCGTCATATCCGATTGTGAAATACAGACAGTACTTGAAAGGCCCAATACATGGTATTACCAATAGCAGTGTGTCACTAATCATTTGGTTCCTTCTGGATTTGTTGTGTTCTTTTGGATAACATTGTGGGTGTGGGGATTCCCCGACGACATAGCACAGTGTATAATTTAGATTTCATTATTTAGGTCCGTTATTCATCGCGCATTTCGATCCAGTTAATTATCACTACCACTAATAAGAAAACATGATAAAAAACACACCCCAGCGCACACATACCTCACACCCACGCAGACACATACACACACACACACAAAACTACAGAAAAATACTCTGCACAAACAGATCCGGTGTCACCATGCCATAGCAAACTTTGTTCGGCGGGGATAAACTACCGTCATATATTCTCATACACAGATATACAGTATGTTTCATTCAGAGACTTCATCTGAAGTTTTTTGTGTTTTTTTTTAAAGGAAAAAAAGTAAACCAAGAATATTGGTACTCAAACATCATCATTTTCATATAATTTTCACTTTCATCCTATTTACAAAGTAAATTTAAGTAAGATACATAATTATTATATTCTGTAAATGCATACATAAACGTGTAATTGTCTCCTATTCTCAATCGATTAAGGATACATGTATACGGCTATATGGTGGTGACAAAATGAAAAAAAAACTTTTTTTTTTAATTTCGATGTAAAATTAAACTTTAACGAAAAACCAGGCTGATTCTTAGCAACGGGATGCTCGAAATTCCTCATATTCGCTCGGGGTGTATTTTGATGACGAATAATATCTTTAACTACAATATTAAGTACAGAATCTTTTTTTTTTTGTGGGGGGTTCACTTACTTCGCTCACTTGTAGATCTTCAATGATTGCCCTGGGCGCCAAAATACCTACATACGCCACTGTTTAGTGGTGATTGCTATCTGCTCTGGTTGTTATATCGTGATGATATCAGAGGTCATTATTTGTAATAATGATCACACCTCTCGATTCTTCTCCGTTGAATTTTTGTTGATATAGTCTCAAAACAACGATAATCGTTAAAAGTAAAAGCAATCCTTTTTTACAATCATTTCATAACGGACTTGCAGGCCAGGAGGCAAATTATCATTCCCGCAAGAACTACATATCGGTCTCGAGAAACCGGCAATTCAGGTCCATCTAGCCGCTCGATTCCACTGGTCTTTCAAAAAGCAACGAAGGTTCTATTTCAATACGAATTTCCATTTCCTTCCGCAAATCCTACCTATTTTGACACAAACTATCATTACAATCTTAATAAATGTCAACTCTATTATTATGATTAGATTCTATTAAATTTTCATCACTCTGAAGTTAGGATAATAACGTGGGAGTTCATAAAGCCAAGGAATGGTTACATCTGGACCAGAATAAAATCGTTTTGCTAGCGGCGTACTGGGTTTACATGGCGTGTACTCTTTTGAATATCCTAGGACAAACCAGATTCTCCACATCAGTCCCTTCTCCCGGAGGAGACGTAGAAAACTCTCCAAAAAATGGATGCATCCACTACAAGGAGATAAGACTGTGAACAGATGTAATGTGTGCATTTGTCCGTCCGCTGGCGGCCATTTTGAAGTGTTAATCAGACCGCGTAACCAGTTCAGTATCAGCTTTTCGGCGTGCGCGGTTCCGCTACCTTCGAAATGGAAGAAGGGTTCCCTCGGGCATGTAGCCATGAACTCGTTGTCGACACACAGCCCCATGTTGTCGGATTGTCGGCGTCCATGTGGTGGAAGGGACGAACGACTGTCGTGATCGTAGCTCACCCGGTCTAAGGAGACCCCCGCGTAAGTCTTCCATGAGCTTGCTGAAAAGCGATGCTCCAGGCTCCTGGACAAGGCCAGAAAAAAGAGGGCGTCGTGCTGCATCGATGCTGCTAAAGAAAATAACAGAGATATCTAATTCGTATTATTTACATTAGCCCTTTACACACCGACGGATTTAATATATGCGTGTGTGTGTGTGTGTGTGTGAATGCGTGTGAGCGTGCGTGTGTTTTTATATTAAAAATGCCATCAAGTAAAGACTAGTTATGATATCATATACTACCAATGTTTCTATTCAAGGACATTACTCGATCATTAGAAAAAGGGGGAAAATAAATTACACTGGCTTGCTCGGGCTTCCGAGAATCTTTGAGAGAATTCACGGTATTTACCTGAATGCAATGGCAATCCCCACCCCCCCCCCCCCCCCCCCCGGGGGGGGGGAAACGAGAATTCACGTTAATTTTACCTTTTTGGGAGATGGCCCCGCGCCCAAGTGGGGGGGGGGGGTGCGATTTTTAAAATTTTCGAGGGCCCAAACAAATATATTAGTGCTCACTACCCCCCCCCCCCCCATATGGACATATTATACATACATGCATGTATATAAGTGTGCGTGTCTGTGCATGTGTGTAAATCCAATAAACACTGAATACTTTATTACACGATGACATATCATATAAAACATATTTAAGGCGTACTATTTATGGTCGTACGTTTTGTGCTGCGCAAAGATTCGATCAGCTTAATTTGGACCATTCCAAGAAGTGAATTGATTTATATGTACACAAACTCATGTACCCTTTACAGCTCATTTTATGTATGTAATTTCCAAAGAAAAAAGGGGTCAGTCAGTCAATCAATATTGCCTGACAATGAAGTCTAGAAAGTAAACGGGTTTCCTTGCATGCTTTGAAGACACTGCCAACGTTTAAATTTCACAGATAGGACATACGTGGCATATTCCTAGTTCCTGCAAAGTTCATTAATTTGATATTGGCTGCAACAGAAAGATACTATCTTTAATATGGTTCGATGGTAGACATAAACAATATGATTTAATGAAATAGGAAGTTAAAAAACAGACGAAGACATAACAAAATAGTAGAGAATTATTGGAGGACACAAATGAAAAAGTGGTGGTATTTAACAAAAATTCAATTAAAAACTGGTATTGTACTTAGTCTGGATTTAGCACAAATAACAAGATATACATGCATCATTAATACATTTTAAATTATAGAATGATCTACATCTCAATTATATTTTAATATAATATGCGTTATACGTACCCATAGTAGTGAAAATGTGTTGATTTTGAAAGGTCCCGATAGAATTTTGTAGACCTATATGGCCTATAATCGTCCAATTAGTTGAATTTTTAATGATGAATGCTAAAGGTGAACTATCATGTTTTCTTGACTGTCCAGTAGATCAGCTGCTGTCAAACTATTTGCCAGAGTAAATGTACTAGCTGTTGTAAGGCACGAGTCATGTCCGATTGTGAAATACAAGTGTTGTCTTGTACCACGTTCTTACAGTGTGTCACCAATCATTGGTTCATTTCGGATTATTTTCTTTTGTCATTGTGAGTTTGGGGATTCCCACAACGACATAGCACAGTGTATAATTTAGATTTCATTATTCAAGTCCGTTGTTCATCGCGCGCTCATATCCACTGTATCATTACCAGTGTGTCTTATGCCTAGGTCACATTTGCTCTACGGCTAGGATACGGCGGCCGTACGCCCCCGAAATCGAGAGATACTTGCGGCGGCAGCAGAGAATCTGCGGTGGCCTCAGGGTCACCCAAGGGCGTATCCCTATCTTTACAGGCCGTATGGGTCGACGTGGGATTATAACGCGGAGGTATAAGTGTTTTCATTTCTAGGTTCGCTTTAACGATTACACACGCCGTAGCCATGCCGTAGAGTGATTCCAAGGCGACCGTACGTCGGGCGTACGGTGGCCTTGCATTTAATATACTCCAGGGGTCAAGTGGTAACATCAGTCTGGCCGCACGGTCGCCGTATGGCCCCTCTTCAGCCACCCTGCGGCTAATACATTGCGTCTGCCGTAGCAACGGCCGTCGCAGGGACGCCCTAAGGCGACCGTGCGTCATCACTTCAAAGGCCGTACTGCAGCTGCAAATTTTCTTTCACCACAAATTCAAACTACGCCGTGCGCCTACCCTAACATATGTGACCGCTACCCGACCCCCCCCCCCCCACTCAGTGTTAATTAGGGTACGCGTATGCTTGTTCCCTCTTTTTGAAAGCACCCCCTATCTGAGGGCTGCCAACATTTCCGAACCCCCCCCCCCCCCCCCCTTTAGCGGGCTTTTCGCGGGCTTTTCCTGCCTTGGAGACCCCCCTAAATCAGGAAAAATGCTCAATGTACCCCCTTAATTCGGAATAATTTCTCAGGAGTCCAAACAGATGAGAGAAAAAGAGGAAAAAAAAAGTCAAATACACACCCTTTTTTTACAATCCTAGGGCCGGACTTTGTCGCACGAAAAGTACCCCTTTACCGGACATTTTGGTAACACGTGGTCATTCCGACCCCGGAGTGGGGAGGGGGGGGGGCCGGGGACCGCTACCGGATGTGACCGTGGGAATGCTGCGGCAGTCCTATAATTGCTATTGGCCGTAGATATTTTGGACCGCACGGCCGCCCCGGCAAATGTGACATAGGCATTAAGTCCCGTTCACACAGGATCTGCGTAGAGTTGCTGGTGTGACGTACCGACTACGCCGAAATTAGGCTGGGTATTCATGAAAAAAATGTTGGTTCGGCGTAGTTCCAGCGTAGGTTATGCGTAGACTGGCATACGAAGGCGTATGGTTAAGTACCCTGTGCATAGGCACCCCGTACATACGGCGTATGCAATTGGCGTATAACTACGCGTACGATGGTGTATCGTAGGGTTGCGTTTGTTAACGTCGGCCTGACGGACAGGTTTACTGACGGTCGCGTATGGTTGATTACTGACTGTGTGCGCAAGCTTTTACTGCTTCGTCGGACTGACGTAGGGTAGCGTAGTGTTGTGTAGACTTGCGTACAAAATTCATAATTTCTGCGTCTAGTGTCTACGCTGAAAGTACGCATTGTCGCGTACCCCCTTTGCGTCCCTCAGCGTACAGTTAGGTAGGCCAGGGTAGGGCAGCGTACGCTCGGCGTATTCGGTACGCAACAGTACGCAACTGTACGCATATCCCGGTGTAAAAGGGGCTTTACAGTGTGTCACCCATCATTGGTTCTTTTTTTGGATTGTTTTGGTTCCTTTAGATAAAACTGTGAGTGTGGGTTCCCCCCCCCCCCCATTAAAACCCCGCATTGGGTGAGGGGATTCCCCCCCCCCCCCCCAACGACATAGCACAGAGTATAATTCAGTTTTCATTTTCACTTTATTTCTATTTACAATGCAAACAAAAACTATGTAAAATTCATATCATATTCTGTAAATGCAAACAAAAACTTGTAATTTTCTCCTATTCTCAAATGATAGGATACATGTATACGGATACGGTGTTGACAAAATGTGTCAAAGTGAACCATGTATTCAAAAAAAAAATGCTTTATCTCAATTTTTTTATCCTCAAAACCAGACCCAAATAGAATCAGATATACTATTTTCACTAAGTATTTTAGCTGTGGCATTACATGATCATCAAATATAAAGAAGGCAGAAGGCTTCAGAAAGCATGTATGAAATATATTATCCTTAATTGGCATTTAGTTTAAAACAATTTACACATTTTTCTCTCTAGAAAGAATTAAAAGAATAATAGTATGATCCTCTTCAAAGTGTTTTGATAGAATATTCGTTAGACCATGGACCCTACTACAGATAGACTAATAATGAGAGTCTTTCTTTGATCACATCATGACCACCGCCACCTGATAATGTGTATGTTGATGAGGACATTCATTTGACGCGACAATGTTGATTATGTAATCACGAATTATCACAAAGAAAACCTTTTACATTTCTTCAGATTCTTTTCGCTGGGCCAGGGCGCAGAGTGTAGTTTCAGGAAAAGTACCGTGATTTAAGACCAGTTAGAGGAGCAGTGAACCCCAAATTATGACAATTTGTGTGATATTAGATTGATGACTTAAGAAGTGATACTGATGGACATACATCTGGACTTGCCAAACTTCGAAAAATACATATTCTTTACTGTCCTATTACCTTCTATTCCTTGGAAATTGATAGGATATGTTTTAAAATGAAGTTTGAAATCATCGTCTTTCAGCCAAATTTACAGGTTTCTCTTGTAAACTACTTCTAATTTTCTATTGAAAACATCATATACGTCAATATTCATAATTATGTAAGCCACAACTGCACATGCATTTCCATGATTTTAAGCGATTCAGTTTCTTTTGCGCAGGCAAAAGTTGAAAGCATGTTTGGAATGTCATTATGATACTTTTGACAGAGTCTATGAGAGTCAGGTGCATGGATATATTATGGTACCGTTTAGTGTCCATTTGTAGTAGGTCCATGGTTAGACATACCCAGGCGCGTACGCTGGATTTTTTCGAGGGGGGGGGGGGGGGGTTAAGAGGACATATTTATTTTTTTCCCCAAAATTTGGCCGATCGATATTTAGAGGGGTAAAGTCAGCTTTTGGGGTCATCATTACCATTTTTTTCTTTTCTTTTTTTTATAAAAAAATGTAAAGGGGGGGGGGGGTTCGTCCAAAACATACACATACAAAAGTCAAAGGGGGGGTTCAACCCCCAGTCCCCCACCCCCTGCGTACGCGCCTGGACATACCCATAATGGTGGAATTGGAAATGTGTTGCTTTTGAATGGTCCCGATAGATCCAAATGGCCTACAATCGTCAAATTAGTTCAATTTGTAATGTGTCATAACGGAAAACTATCATGCTCTGCTAATTCTCCAGTGCATCAGCTGCAGTGAATAGTCAAACTATTTACACGAGTAGTTTACACTAATACTTGCTGCTGTAAAGCACAACTCATATCCAGGCACGTAGCCACAGGGGGGGGGGGGTACGGGGGGGACGTGCCCCCCCCCAAAAAAAATTCAAGATCGGTTGAACTTTTTAGACCCCTTTTTTTTTACCTCGATCGATTACATGCAGGCGCGTACGCAGGATTTTTTCAAGGGGGGGGGGGGGGGGGTTTAACATTTATAAATCGGGCCGAAAATTTCGCAACGACTCAGCCAGCCGCTGAATAAGCGGGGGGGGGGGGGGGGGGGAGGGGGGGGTAAGAGGTCACTTTTTTTTTTTTTTTGGTCCCAAAAAAATCGCAACGACTCAGCCGACCGCTGAATAAGCAGGGGGAAGGGGGGGGAAGGGGGAGGAAGGGGGGGGGGGGGTAAGAGGACCATTTTTTTTTTTTTTTGGTCTCGAAATTTGACATTTTGCTCTTTTTTTTTTTTTTTTTTTATTAAAAAAAAAAAAAAAAAAAAAAAAAAAAAAGGGGGGGGGGGGGGGGGGGGGTCACAAAAAGGGGGGGGGGGGGGGGGGGGGGGGGTTTACACAAAAAAAAATTCCAAAGGGGGGGGGGGTTTAACCCCCAAACCCCCCCCCCCTGCGTATTGCCTGATTACATGTACATGTATGTGCCCCCCCCCCCCCCCCCCCCAAAAAAAAAAAAAAACGACAACATCAAACTCTGGCTACGTGCCTGCTCATAGCCTTTAATTGTGCATACGAAGTACTGACAGTGTGTCACCAATCATTTGGTTTCTTTTGGATTTTTTTGGTTATTTTGGATAACATTGTGGGTGTGGGGATTCCCCAAACAACATATATAGCACAGTGTATAACTAATAAAACCATTATAAAAAACACACCAAACCGCATGCATACCTCACACCACATACACACACATAACTACAGAAAAATATTCTGCATAAACAGATCCCCTTTAAGAGTGCCATGGGCAAACTTCGTTCGGCAAGGTTCAAATTTTACCATCCGATTGTCATACATTCCCATTAACAGATAATACAGTATGTGTAAATAAGAAAAAGTATGTTTCATTCAGAGATTTCATCTGAAGTTTTAGAAAATAAGAAAAAAAATGAATATCGGTAATCGAACATCATAATATTTGTATAATTTTCACTTGTATTCATTTTCATTTTTACAAAGTAAATTTCAAATAAGATACATATTATATTATGTAAAGGCATACAAAAAACGTTAGGAAACATGTACATGGCTGTGGTGTTGACAAAACAAAAAAAACTTTTAAAAAGACAGTGAAAGGGATCAACACATGGTGTTACCAATAATCTTCAATTATAAATACTTATTCACCGTGGATAAGTACAGATAACATCAACAGATTCATACGGATTGGTGACAACTTACAAATGCCTGAAACTACCTTTATGGGGAACAATAACCCTGAACAATAATAATTAAGGCCGTTAGGAGACATTCAAATGAGCATTAGGGGGGATATGATTCCAATATCAAGGCCTGAATGGGAGTTCAAAAGAATGTTAGCTTTCATGTGTGAGTGCATGTCCAAACGATTTGATTTTTGGGGATTAATTTTTCACATACACACTTGTATGTACTATGTAGACATACATGTACAACACCATAATAAATAGATCGTCGATGGCATAATCAATTAAATTTTACATGCATCAATGGATCGTCAGAAGCTTTATTCAAAGCTTGATGGAGAGAAGCCACACAGATTTCAACTTCTATAAGTAATATTTGAGCCTGATAGTTTCAATTTTAAATAGTATGCCTGACATTGAACCCAAAATATACAGTGAACAATATTTTGGGTGATATGTTCCTTTTTACAATGAAAGACTACAATGTCCTTATACACAGAACAAGATTCTGCCAATCTAAACATATACCTTCTATTTTTAAATAGTAAATTGCACTACCTATACAACTTATATAAAATTAAGAAAGATGATTGGGTAATGCATTTCTTCCAATTAATAAATAAAACTGTATTGTCAGAATTTTCGGGGAATAAGGTTTAATTTATTAATTTGCAAATAAGCATTACCCAATCATCTTTCAAATGCCTCTTTTGGACGCCACAAAGAGGACATTAACTGATACTTAAATAAATTGATTTACAAATACATGTATATAACGCTATGAATTTACACTGGAGTAACATACAAGCATTATTAAAGACTAGATTCTCCAAGGAGAATTTAAAATCCATCAGTATACACGGTAATATCCTCCTGGCTCGAAACGGATGATCTCAAGTTTTCAGCATTGTAGTTTTCTTTAAATAGAGATATCCATCCCCCCCCCCCCCCCCCCCCCCCCCGGGGAAACAAAACATAAAAAGAGAGAGATAGAGGGGCAATTAGTTGCAATATGTAATAATTTAAACAAAATTCACAATGGGAAAATGTAATTTTGACATTATTCAGATTTGAGACTAAAAAACGTCTTAAACGTTAAGTAAAGAGTAAAGACTCATAAATAAGACAGATCATGGTACAACAATCTAAGTATACTTCGCATAAATACCATTTGTAATACAGCTCGAATAAAATCACATTTCTTTTCTTGAGTTGTTCACTTAATTACTACATTTGGATGATTAGAGACTCATTCAGATATGATACACTGCAGCAGTTTTTTAAACCTGTATAAGAATGGCAACTACGCCCATCAAAGGTCCCATGCGTATGCACTGAGCTCTGTTTTATAAGATACATAAATGTGGAGTGTAATACACTTATATCACTAACCGGTGTGTTGGTTCAGTCAGTAGAGCGTCCGCCTCACAACCGGGAGGTCGTGGGTTCGAAACCCGGCCGTGTCATACCAAAAGACGTTAACTCTTATCATGCCACAGGGCTAATCCCCATTGTGCCAAGCCCCAAATCCCCCCGTGCCAGGTTGTTTCGGAGATAATCTTTAACTTAATAACAATTTGGAGTGGACTTTAAAAGATTATTATTATTAATTAAAAAGAACTGCCACAGATTATCGCAGCATATTTGAATCGGGCTTACACCTGAACAAAACTCTAACAGATAGGACATCCCTCAAAATATGCTTACTTACAAATGGTCACACTCAAAGTGCTAAAAACAGCGCCTTGACCAACATCGTACAGTATGCATGAAAAAGAGAACAATTGTAGTTCCACCGCTTCTCACACCTTTCTCTGTCAGTGCATGCTGTTCCACCAGTCACATCTGACCAGGTCAAAACAAGACTCTTTATCCCGAAGAATGAGCAATAACAGTATATATTCAAACTCTATTCACACCCATGTGCAATAGCTCTTCTTCTTGATTACACTTGTACAGCTTTTATTTAGGTTCTTCTAAAGCTGTTAAATCTAAAGACATCACAACCATGAAGGTGAAAATAGACACGAGTTAAGCGACAGAGAGCTCTGGATCTTGGAACCGAAGAGCTAATGTCTCTAACAACCAGCTTGTGTTAGGCTTGTATGATATATCAGCAATTCATATAGCTATAATTCAAACCTAAAAGCAAGCAAGTGATTGAAATGGTCTGGCATTAGGCACAAAGGGATTAAGTAGCCAAGAAGTTAATCACACAAAGGAAAATGACATGTTGCGAATGAAACAGCAGTTCCCATAAAAAGCCATATGCTTCTTTGATCATGCGAATGTCCAGTGGTGAACTACACCATGGCATGTAGAGAATTGAATCCACTTTGACAGGATATCCTCTAGTTCTTCAGGGCTTCTGGTCAGGTCATCACGGCTTGGGGGTAGCCCCTTGAACTGATGTAATTCAACATAGAAAGAAAGCTGCATGCAACATGATCTCGCAATAGAATCCAGATGCGCCCTGGGTCGTGTAAATGTCTGCTTGTTAACTATGGCAGAAAGAGTCTTTAGTCCATGTGAGAAGTTATCAACTAGCTCCTGAGGGCTTCTAATCTGGCCTGCATGGCTTGAAGGTCGTCCCCTTCTTCTTCTTCCTCCTCGCTCTCTGGACCTGCTGTAGCGCCCTCTGCTGGTCCGGGTAGCTCAGCGCTGACTTCTGGCGCTGTGGAGAGTGCACCTGCATGGTAAAGAAATTAGCAATGAGAAAAGACAAGATATTATATCATTGTTGAACTCGTTCATTAGGTTGGTGTCAATCAGTAGGAAGGAGTTCTTTGACACACAAAAGAGATTGATGCACCTTTTTTTTTCTAGACTAATCATATTTGGAAACCATACTCAACTCTTCTTTCAGTATTGCTGGGAATTTTTAAAACAACGAAAGAGGAAGTGAAAGAAAAAACCCAACTAGAGACATGTACATGGAGGCCTATCCATGAAAAGCTCAGATAAACTTTGTGTATTTTGCCTTACACTTACATTTCCTCTCTATTCTTCATTTTGACACTGTCCTCTCCATTCTTTTACTCAATGGCATCTCTCTATATCATAAATCTAACCATTTTCTTTCTTTAAGCCATCATTATACCAAGCATTCTGGATAGCTTCCACTTTCCAATGTAAGGAATAAATGCACTATCTGTTCCAAGAATACAAATTACTGATCCAAATATATTATTTGGTGTCACCTGTGACTGGGATGGGAAGAGAGATTTGAATCACTGTGACCCTTGGGTCTCTATAACTGATTGGGGGTGTGGAAGTACACCACTATACCGGGACTTTCCCCTACTCTTCAACAAAAAGTGTGGCTGGTTCTTAACGTGCAAAGATTGTGACTCTCCTCTACATGGGACCTCCATTTAATGTCCTATCCGAGGGACGCAGTTTTTTTTCCACTGTAACCTAGCCTGCATCTATGACACTTGGGAGGGGCACATCAAAAAACAACAAAGGCTTCAGTTCTCCGCCAGGGATAGATTTGACCCATGACCTTTGGTTCGACAGGCAGATGCTTTACCAACTGAGCCTACTCCTCCCCTCCTCATTAAACAAACCACACAGACATGATGCTTCCCATACTAGACATATCATCACCCTGGGGGGCGTTTCACAAAGCCTTTTGTCAATGACAAATAACAGAAATCAGAGACAAATCTGCTGATAACCAATCAGAAGCAAGGATTTCAGTAGCTTATAACACAAATTGTCACTGATGACAAGTTTTGTGAAACGCCCCCCAGATCTTCACTGTCATTAAAGAGAAGGTTGAGTTCTGGGAAGAGGTGACAAATAATTTGTGAGCGTTATCATTGTATTATGCAAGTGTGGAAGAACATGAGATAAAAAATATTTCCTGAAAAGCATGGCTCTTCAAATGCCTTAATATTCTAAATATGGCATGTAGCATCATAATAATCAGGACGGAATTTTATGCCACATGTTTGTGTAGTCCCATATACATCTTTCTGTGTACGGTGATTGTAACTTTACCAAGACGGGACCAAATTTCTTATCATTTTGATGATTCCCGAACCTTGCAGTACACACCAATACTTATATGCTAGATGATCAACCTTCTCTGATCGATTCCACAACGTTTCTTTCACAATGCAATCGCATGACTAGAACTCAACTTCATCTTTAAAGGGAACCAAAATCTTCATACTAAGTTACTTTTATTGTAAAGTTTCAGATATTTTAATAAAATCAGTGAAAATTTGAACAAAAATCGGGCAAGGAATAAGGAATTTAGAGCTTTTTGAAATGACTAGTCACTAGAGGGCGATATTTAATTTGATGACATCATCTGTGGACAACTCTCCATGCCTTTTGTACATCAAATTTCATGTTTTTCCTTCTTTCTTGTGATTGAGATAATCTACTCCCCTGAAAGCAAGGTATAGAATGCAAAATGATATTCTACTTCACATGTTATGAAGTCGGATCAAGAACACAAATAAATATGAAAAAAACGAAAGAATTGTGAAATTTGAAGCACAAAAGGCATGGAGAGTTGTCCACAGATGATGTCATCAAATTAAATATCGCCCTCTAGTGACTAGGCATTTCAAAAAGCTCTAACTTCCTTATTCCTTGCCCGATTTTGTTCAAATTTTCACTGATTTTATTAAAATATCTTAAACTTTACAATAAAAGTAACTTAGTATGAAGGCAATGTTTGTTTAATCCGAATTGTTTGTTTCTTACCTGCCGTGAGCTCATAGAGTATCTTATCAATTTCCTCCTGGGTGGCATCCTCTTCTACATCGTCTAATGATTCAAACGTATCCTCCATCATCTCCTCAATGATACCAGCCTGGTGAAAGAGAAGTATGAAGCATTACTAGACTGAACGATATCTTGATGTTTGTAACAATAATTAGAGGGAGTGTCATGGTCGAGTGGTTTAAGGCGCTTGACCAGAGATGCAAAGGTCTAAGGTTCGAATCCCGACACGGCACTAATATCCTTTGGCAAGATATTAAATTGCACTTGCTACTCTCCACCCAGGTGTTAAATGGGTACCCGGTAGGATGCGACCGTCATTGTTGGTCAAACAGTTTTTGAGCATCATGTAACGCCTGGCTGGAATGCTCCCCAGGAAATGGAGATTGTGCACACAGTGTGTGCAGGCAAGCACTGAATCCAATGACCGGGGTAATAGTATATTTGTAAAGTGCTTAGAGACATTTGTATAAAGGAGCTATAAAGAGCTAAATATTATTATTATTATTATAAAAGATGTAGTATTGCCCTTTGCGACCCAAAAATCTTGAAATCTACGGTCAGTTTAATTTTTTTTAATTACCGTTTTTTAGAGAAAAAATGTATTAAACCATTCAAAACAGAAATATCAGCCCAAAGAGGGAGGGAAAACAAAGATTTCCTGACCGACCTACGCATGTTTTGGCAATACAACATCTATTTTTTAGATCTAATAGTGGGTTCTTATATAGCACTCATGTTTATCACACTTGACACTGTTGGTGCTCCAATGTTATTGCCCAAGCTTTAGCACGGCTGCCATTATGGTGCTCGAGCATTTCGAGGCAATAATTCCTGCCAGGTACCCATTTACTTCACCTGGGTCGGGTGGGACAAATGGTAGTTTTAATGTTTTTCAAAAAGACATTGGCGATGTGGCAGGGATTTGAACCCCATACCTTGCGATTCGTAGTCCAGGGACTTATCCACTAGACCACAAATCTCTTCAATATGCAATAAAATGGACAGATAAACTAATTTAAATTGATCTTTTATTGTTATTCATGCGTTAGATGGCTTGTTTACACTAGCAAAATATTAATAAACTACAAAAAAAAGTTGGAAAATTTCATCAATACATATACACAACCTTCACTTCAATACAGAGACCAATCATTTGGTAAACCCTAGCTTTAAACATTACCTGAAACCCAATCACGACCCTAATCCTAATCCTAATTCTAATCCTATGTATATGTCAACAACAAAAAATCAAGCTAATGTTGGGGGGGGGGGGGATGTTGGATGACCGAAACTAAAATAAGTCTGCGGAACTGCTGTTTCTCATTCACAGTGACGCATGAAGTTATCAAGTGACCATCCATACTAAATGGCGCATACCTCTCAGATCCTCTATTTAGTAACTTAAAGATGGTTATGATAATGCGATTGCATTGTGAAAGAAACGTTGTGGAATCGATAAGAAAAGATTGATCATCTAGTATATAAGTATTGGTGTGTACTGCAAGGTTCTGGAATTATCAAAATGATAAGAAATTTGGCCCGGTCTTGGTAAAGTTACAAGCACTGTACACAGAAAGATGTATATGGGACTACGCGACACGTGCACGATATCTATCAGGTCAAAATAGATATAATATTTTACCAAATATATCAATTAGTACCGGTAGGCGGTTTCTGGGCAAAATTTGTATCATTACGTATTAATCAAAACATATTCTTCACATGATTGGTAATAAGAGCTTCCATTTCATTTTTTGAGATTGGGGCGTTTCCAAAACTGGTCTTTACCTTTAAACCCACTCTGCTACATGTATCATGTTTCAGACCACTCCAAAGATACCTTGTGGGCTAGTGCTCCCAAGGCACTTTATTGAACTGTACGCATCGACTAACCTTCATCATTTCTTTTGATAGTTCCATCATGGTAGCTTGAATCTCTGGCACCTTGACCAATGATTGCATGGCTTTCATCACGACTGTGCTCTTCTCCAATGCTCCGCTTACTCTCAGTAATGCTGATTGGTTGAAAAGATCAGACATGTTATAAATATGGCATTCTTCATGAATCATGATAAATGTGACCCAGTAGGATGCTTAAGTCACTGTCATTGAATTAACACTGTAGGTGTGTATATAAAATGATGTCTGGGTAGTATACAAATGATGCATGGTATATTGTTCCAAATTCTAGAAGCAGTTACACTACTACTACTACTACTAATATTACCACTGCCACTACCACCAACACCACCAACACCACTACCACTACTACCACTACAACTACCACTTCCACTACCACTACCAGTACCACTACCACTACCACTACTACTACTACTACTACTACTACTACTACTACTTCTACTACTACTACTACATGTAACACTACCACTACCACTACTACTACTACTACTACTATTACTACTACTACTACTACTACTACTTCTACTTCTACTACCACTACCACTACTACTACTACTACCACTATCACTACCACTTCTACTACTACTACTACTACTACTACTACTACTGCTGCTGCAGCTACTACTACTACTACTACTACTACTTCTACTACCACTACCACTACTACTGCTACTACCACTATCACTACCACTTCTACTACTACTACTAATACTACTACTACTACTACTACTACTACTGCTGCAGCTACTACATTTTATCATTATCCTCATCGTTGTCATTATCATTTGGATCACCCGGGCTACTACTCACCTTGCTGGTTCTTCATCTGCATGCCTACCGAGTTCAGATGAGCCTTGGAGGTGTAGATGCGATTCTTGGCCTTCTTCGACTGGATCAGTTCCTTGGCTAGGATTTTGCAGACGTCCATGTGATTCTTCTTGGCAGAATCCTTGATTGACCTTTTGACCTTTGCCTCTGCCACTTCAATTGCTGCCATAATATGATGAAGGATTTAAAAGAATGGTGTAAGTATGACAAGCTGGTCAATAAAATAAAGGCGCCTAGAAATACAATTGAGTACACAATATGAACAGGATTAGAGTTTCGAAAATAATATCGCTAGTGATATTTGTTTGTCTCGCAATGTATGGTAAACAAGGGATCTAAAAGATCACAAAGTTTCATGCACCACTGCAACATTATGTCAGGTGATAAAATATAACGTAAGCATTAGAGTTATTTCAATGGTACAAATAGAACTCTAACTGAAATCGGTATCAAATTTTTCTTGTTTTCATTCTTTTGCCATGATAATTATTGATGTCTTAAAGATAAACTTGAGTTCTGGTAAAAAAAGAAAATTAATTCTCACAGAATCAAACGAAAATTACACTGAATGTTCAAGATTACAAATAAATGACATGTGCCAAACAATTTTGGAAGAAAATGTATACTGGCTGAATAATGAGCATAGAAAGACAAGGAAATCAAGGTAGTACTAGCCCCGACACCATGTGTGTTGTCCCATATACAGCTTTCTGTGTACAGTGTTTGTTACTTTACCAAGACTCGGTCAAATTTATTATGATTTTGATGACTCCAGAACCTTGCAGTGCACACCAATACTTACATGCTACATGATCAACTGTTTCTGATCCTTTCCACACCTTTTCTTTCACAATGCAATCGCATTACCAGTACTAAAGTTTATCTTTAAGAACACTTTCAGGAATTTTTACTCTTCTTCCCACTAAGTTTCTAATACATATCAATGGAATTTTAAACTATTTTACACCACGAGTCAAAACGTTAAATAAGTCTTTTAAATGAAATAAAATAATCAAATCCATAAATGAATTCCATATTGTAACAGGCAGCATTATAGCCTAGAAAAAAAGCATATTTTTACCAAAACAAAACAAAATATATGTGTACATTTTTTAGCTAATCGAAAGAAGCCACATCTGTAAATCATTTCACTCTATGACTTTGAATCTGAAAGCATAAGAGAATATTTTTGCTCATTTTATAGCCAATGTGGTCAAAAATTTCTGGGGGAAAAGTTTTGATTTGGGATGAATCGCTCACATCTAATTTGCCTGTCCAGTTGGCGGCCTTCTTTCCTCAAAGCAGAAGTCCACTCACGTACCTAAAATTAAAACAACCAAAGAAAAGTTTAAAACTTAAAATAAAAATCGTCAGGTACATGCAAGCCATGGAAGTTGCTTTGAACCAAATGGAGACTGAAATCATCTGGGTAGATGACATGTATATATGTAGCAAAGAATCCTACACAGATACTTGACTTTGCCAATTTAATGAGATTTATATCTCCTCTACTCTGCTCTTTATCGTTTTTCTTTTGTTTATTAGAGGTAAAAACCAGTATTGGAAACGCCCCAATTTCAAAAAATGAAATGGAAGCTCTTATTACCAATCATGTGAAAGAGTATGTTTTGACTAATACATGATGATAACAAATTTGCTGGGAAACCTCCTACTAATTGATATATTTGGTAAATTAGTTTATCTATTGGTATGTGAGAGATAAACGCACGTGTGCGTAGTCCGATATACATCTTTCTGTGTACAGTGCTTGTAACTTTACGAAGACTGGGCCAAATTTCTTGCAGTACACACCAATACTTATATGCTAGATAGATCTAGATCAATCTTTTCTGATCGATTCCACAACGTTTCTTTCATAATGCCATCGCATGACCATAACTGGTCTTTATCTTTAACATTTCTTCTTTTATAAGTTTCTCTGCTTCTTTTGTTTTATTTCTCTTCGAATTCTCCTTGCTTACACTAATCCATTGAATGCTCTTTGTTATAACCTTTCATGTACATGTAGATTGTATCTCAGACTTTGGTTTTTGACAAGAGTAGTGACAAATAGCGAGGAAAAATTATCCTCAATAATATGGGGAGGGAAGGAAAGAAAAGGAGCATTAGGAACACTTAAAGATAAAGTTGAGTTCTGGTCATGAGATTGCATTTTGAAAGAAACGGTGGGGAATCAATCAGAAAAGATTGATAATTTAGCATATAAGTATTGGTTTGGTGTGTACTGCAAGGTTCTGGAGTCATCAAAATCATAATAAATTTGGCCCAGTCTTGGTAAAGTAACAAGCACTGTACACAGAAAGATGAATATGGGACTACACAAATGGTGCCGGGCCTACTTACCTTGATTTCCTTATCTTTCTTTACTCAGCCAATCTACATTTTCTACCAAAATTGTTTGGCAAATGACATTCATTTGTAATCTTGATCATTCAGTGTAAGTTTCATTTGATTCTGTGAGAATTTTTTAATATCTTTTACCAGAACTCAGTTTATCTTTAACTCTGTGTTAACGTATAAACTTACACCTTTCTGGCTTCATACAGACATCATGTAAGTTTGAGAGGTAACTAAAACTTTCTTCTCTTTCAATATTCCCTTTGTCTTCTTCTTCATCTGTATTTTTACATTTATTTTGGAGTAGCGTCTACATGAGGAGTATAATCAACTTCATATACTGTAGGTTCTAGATGATCTAAGAGATCAATTTCTTCTCCTCTGAATCTTCTGATTCTTCTCTACTACTTTTTATTCAGACATCTTTATTCAGACATCTTGTCTGCCCCTCTCATATATCTTTTGTTCTTCTTACACAGATACATGTGCAATTTATTTTGAACATTGATTCTTTTTTCTTTTACTTCCTAGATCTATTCTTCTCTTATTATTCCTCCTCCTCTTCTCCTTCTTCTTCTTCCTCTTCTTCTTCTTCTTCTTCTTCTTCCTCCTCCTCCTCCTCCTCCTCCTCTGCTTCTTCTTCTTCTTCTTCTTCCATCATAACTTCCCCTCCTACTACTTCATTTGTTCTTACTCTTGTTCATGTTTAGCCTTAAGGGCTCTCTCGAAATGTTTTTTTAATGATATTATTCGAGAGAGCCTTAAACGGCTCCCATACCCCTGCACGGAGAGGCATGTAAACAAAACTCAAAAGTGGTCCAAAATCACACTTTCGCGCACCCGACCAATATTGGACAGTGGCTTTGATAAATTTTGTCGTAGTTTTGGTCTTAATTAGCGCTTTAATTTCAAAATCGGATCTAAAAATAACAAAATAAGAGCAATTTTCTTACCAGACCGATACAGCTCAGCTCCCTTTTCACGTGTACCGTGTGAATTCACGATGTCTACACAATGGTGATGACCTCTGACTGGCACTTCCGTAATTGTGGGTAAATTGTGCTGCTTCCGTATAATGCGCTGTATGAGTGTTATTCAGCGCATTATACGGAAGCAGCACATTTACGAAGTGCTAGTCAGAGGTCATCACCATTGTGTAGACATCGTGAATTCACACGGTACACGTGAAAAGGGAGCTGAGCTGTATCGGTCTGGTAAGAAAATTGCTCTTATTTTGTTATTTTTAGATCCGATTTTGAAATTAAAGCGCTAATTAAGACCAAAACTACGACAAAATTTATCAAAGCCACTGTCCAATATTGGTCGGGTGCGCGAAAGTGTGATTTTGGACCACTTTTGAGTTTTGTTTACATGCCTCTCCGTGCAGGGGTATGAAAGCCGTTTAAGGCTCTCTCGAATAATATCATTAAAAAAACATTTCGAGAGAGCCCTTAAGGCTAGTTCATGTTACTAGTTTTACTGTTCCTTTTCTTTTTCCTGTATTAATTTTATTATGATGATTGCCTTCACTTTCTTTCTTCTTCTTTTTCTTCTTCTCATTCCGATTCTCCCTTCTTCCGCCTTTTTCATCTCTTGGTCTTCTTCTTTCACGTTGCCATTGCCGTTTGATGACCTTCGAAAGACTGTCGATCTATCATTTTTTAAATCTCTCGTCTACACAATTACGCATCAACACACACTGGTCGTCTGCCGAACTTCGAACACTCAACAAACTTACAAACACAAATAATAGTTACTGGGACCGAAGACAAAACGGACGCCTACAAGTGAGAACTAGGTCTACAACTTTCGACTCTGATTTCAACTCATACAAATATCACATAAATATTCCATTACCTGATCCTTCGGGTCTTTCTTAGCTTCTTTCCCAAACAGCCCCATGATTCAAGAAGATGATTTCTGCTTGTGAGAAATTCACAAAATAAATATACCGTCTCCTCTGCTCTGCTGCTCTAGTTTAGTGTTGATACTGCGCCTAACTGAAGTAAGCGCTCAATGAAATCGAAACATAACATTACAAAATCGCCCATTACATTACTCGCACAGTTTCATACATCTCTTTCGTTCACTTTCCTTGTAGATGATAACAATGTAATATTTGAGTTTACGTATATATATTTAGGCATATTGCAGACCTAATTACTAGTAAGTATTAACATCACCACGCACGGTAACTAAGAATAGTATAGATGGATGTGTTGTCAATTCGAATCTTTTCATTGTCCACATAGATTATATAGGCCTCACTATGAAATTTAAAAAAAATGATTACAAAATATGGCATAGGGGCCTGTAGAACTATCTGATATGGCCATTTGATGACATGATGTAAAAGGTAAAAGTTAATATGGATAAATGATACATGCTATTCCTGGTAGAAAAGAACCATGATACAAGCTGTTACATAAGGAAACGATTGGCAATTAAACAGCACCTTGAGAGAGAAATAGCGAGGAGCAGGGGCGTACGCAGGATTTTTTCAAGGGGGGGGGGTTTAAAATCTGGCCAAAAATATTTTGCTCCCGAAAATTTGAAAATCGCGCCGGCCGAAAATTCGCTCAGTGGGGGGGGGGGGGGGGGGGCGGGGGGGGGGGGGGTCAAGCGGACACTTTTTTTTTGGTAGTCCAAAAAAAAATCCAAAAAAAAAATTGCAACGACTCAGCCAACCGAAAAGTCGCTCAGTGGGGTGGGGGGGTAAGCGGACACTTTTTTTGTTGTTGTTGGTAGTCCAAAAAAAAAATTGCAACGACTCAGCCAACCGAAAAGTCGCTCAGTGGGGGGGGGGGGGGGGGGGGGGGGGGGGGTAAGCGGACACTTTTTTTTTTTTTTTGGTCTCAAAATTTGAAAATTTGACATTTTTTTATCGTTGGGGGGGGGGGGGGTAAGGTCACTTTACGTTAGCCGTGGGCATAATTTTTTTTTTTTTTTTTTTTTTTAAATTTAAAAAAACAAAAAACAAAAAAAAAAAACAAAAAAACAAAGGGGGTTTTTTTTTTTTTTTTAGGGGGGTTTACACACATAAAAATACCAAAGGGGGTTTGAACCCCCAAACCCCCCCCCCCCCCCCGCGTACGCCCCTGGCGAGGAGAGCTAAATCTTAAGATCAGAGAACAAATTAAGAGAGAGAAAGAGATCTCTTTCTCTCTCTTTGATCGAGGGAAAGAGAGAGAACCCAGCCGGCAGGAAGAGGGGGGGGGGGTCCCAATCCGTGAGAAAATATTAGTTGCGACTCAGCCGTCGGTGAATAAGCCGGGGGGGGGGGTAGGAGGCACTTTTTTTTGGTCCAATTTTTCAGTAAATATTTTGCGCCCACTCAGTCAGCGGTGAATAGGCAAGGGGGGGGGGGGGGGGGGTGAGACCACTATTTTTATTTTTTGGACCTAATTCGTGAGATTTTTTTTTGGTTTTTGTAATTCTTTTTTTGTTGTTGACCCGTCAGCCCCCCCCCCCCCCCCCCCCCCCCGCGGTGCAGAGGATCCAACCGGCGTCAAGAGGAGGGGGGGGGGGGTAGCCAAATCTTAATACAAAATTTAGTGCCGTCTTAGCCGACCGGCGAATAAGCGGGGGGGGGGGCGCTTTTGTTTTTGTTTTATAAAGGTTAACTTTACGTTATTATCCTATTTTTTTATCGTTTGGGGGGCTGGGGGGGCCCGGGTTGGAAAAATCGTTACGTGGATCCGCCCCTGTGTATAGGAAGAGAAAGGGGTCGAAGTTGGGCTAACATTTGTTCAAGGTGTTTCCACACACACACAAACCCACACACACACAAAAAGAAATTGTCATCAGGAAGAATTGTGCAGTACCGATGAACTGAGTTTACGGTTGGCCGAGGTCTATAATGTCGGATTCTGCCCACATTGCTGTCCACTTCGTCGGTAACTTCAGCTTTTTGTAAAGGCTAAAAATAGAACTGTGACGCTCTGTCAGCTGCACTTCGCTCATCTTGCTCCACTCGGCTCAAGAACCTAGCTTCCGTCTACAAACAATATACCAGGGCAGCGTTTCTCGAAACCGTCTTAACTACAAGTTCACCGACATCCCATTGAAACGCGTGTTAAACTTAATACACGCGTTTCAATGGGATGTCGCTGAACTTGTAGTTATGACGGTTTCGAGAAACGCTGGCCAAGTTACCAACTATTATGTTATGATTGTATGGTTGCTTGCTTGTTCGTTTCTATATTTGTTTGTTTGTTTGTTTGTAGCAGCGAGGTGATCTATTTATAATTTTGTATCTTATCTATATTTGACGACGAAATCTTCATTACAATTAAATTTCGCTTTAAACATTCTAGAATAGGGAAAGTACTGTAGATACTCGGGCAAAAAAATCCCCACTGGGCGAAAATTTTCCCCACACGTACAAGAGCAAAGAAGGGAGGGGTCGATGGGAATTGAAGCAACCAATATTCTGAAACATGGCAATTCTATCAAATGTGGCCAGCTCGATCGAGCTAGAGCCTCCTGGTAATTTGTCATATTCGACCATGCAGATACATGAATTCATAATCTATCAGGCTGGTATGAGATAATGAGACGCAAGGGATGAATCCATGATTTTTGTAAAGGGGGTACAATGACTCAAAATGTCTGACAAATTAATAAAAGTAAATTAAATGGTAATCACTTTTGCAGATGCCTAGCTAGAGCTTTGCGGTGTAAACTTTGAGAGGGGCACTTATTTGTATGTGGATACTTATACTTAATTTATGCCAGTTTAGTTTTAAAACGGGGCCCTGGTCGGTTCTACCCCACCCCTTAAATCCCTCCCAAGTGTTGTCCAGTCCGGTATATTTTTTTTTGGAAAACTTCGATACTCCACTACAAAACCTCTATCGAAAGAGGGTGCACTTCGACTTGAAAACATGCAATGCTCTAATTAAAAATAGTATATGCTCAACTCGGCCCTTCGCACGTTTGTGACAAAGAACAGCATACATTTGAGCTGCTTTGCATTTGATTTGATTTATCTTCTTCTTCTTCTTTTTTTATACAAGAAAGAAAATTACAACTAATATGTAGTGTTTTCTTTCCAATGGTTAAATAACAAGAAATCGATCCAACTATTTGGACGTTCCATGCAGAGGGTGCAGCTCCCGTACCCACCCCCCCCCCCTTCCCCTCTCCTGGGGAAGACCCCGCTTACTATTATATGGATACGTCGTTGATAATAAAAACGTAATTATTTGAATAACTGACTCATAGTTATGTTCATAACGCCGTGAAATATAGACCGCGGAGGTCAAAATTAAGAGCAGTGCACCTGGAAGTCACCACCACCTTTTTTTTTAAATGGTCATCTTAATTTTGGTCCGCTCGACCGAGAAGTAACCTCAACACACGTGTCGACGCCTACTCATTATACTCACAACGGATCGTTACATGTTCTTCTTAAAGGAACTAAATATGTTGAATTAGAATTATGTAGGCCTATATTTCATTTTTCTTGCTTAGTACTGTTGGTTGTGTATGGTGATCGAGTTAGATGGTAAAATCATTACTAAGCTTTGTGTTTCATTCGTTTAATGAGGATATTGCATATCAGGTCTTCCTCGAGATAGCCCCCTTTCTGCATAATTATACAGTCAAACCTGCTTTCGCGATTACTTGTATAGAAAGACCACCTCTCTTTAAAGACCCTATTTTTCGTTTACCTTGATCTCTCATTGAAACATGTATGCAAGGAACCTGTACATAGAGACCACCTGCCTATTAAACACTTTTTTCTTGTCTTTCTTTGGCGGTCTTTAGATAATTAGGTTTCACTGTATTTTAATTTCTCATAGCTGAAATATCAAATGTGTTGATAACGATAATAATTATAATGATGATAATATTAATACAAATAATATCAATAATAATAATAATGATAATAAAACTAATAATAATAACCATAATAAAAATAATAACAATAATAATAATAACAATGATAATAATAATAACAATAATAATAATAATAATAATGATAATAATAATAACAATAATAATAATGCGCCTAGTTAACCGAGGATATGGCCTCATCAGTATTAATAATAATACTGTTCTCTCTATATGGACCTTGCATTCACAATACTACCCTGGCTTTAGCCGAGGTACCACAATAAGCCAAAAGCTCAAGTATTCAAGGAATATCTTTCTATACCGAGTACCCATATACTACACCTGGGAGGAGAGTGGCAAATGTAGATTAATGTCTTGCCAAAGGACATTAGTACCATGATGGGGCTAGAACCGCGAACCCCCGGGCCCCCCCCCCCCCCCACTCAGAGGTCGGAATGACCGCATGCGTGTTGCCAAAATGTCCGGTAAAGGGGTACTTTTCGTGCGACAAAGTCCGGCCCGAGATTTGTAAAAAAAAGGGGTGTATTTGACTTTTCACCCGGAGATTTCTTTAAAAAGGGGGTGTTTTTCTTTTTTTCTCTCATCTCTTTGGAATCCTGAGAAATTATTCCGAATTTAGGGGTACATTGAGCATTTTTCCTGATTTAGGGGGGTCTCCAAGGCAGGAAAAGCCCGCAAAAAGCCCGCGAAAGGGGGGTTCGGAAATGTTGGCAGTCCTCAGATAGGGGGTGCTTTCAAAAAGAGGGTACGAGCATATATGCGTACCCTAAATAACACTGAGTGGGGGGGGGGCGGGCGCGAACCATTGATTCACAGTCTAGCGATGTATCCGCTATAGACCATGACACCTCTACAATATGAAACATAAATATAAAGCATTACTTGTTTCTTTGGTTATTGCAAGAAGGTCGTTTCTACCATAAACAATGTAAACATTAGCTCTGAAGGTGTTCTTCCGGGAATCCGAATATTGATTTGTTTTAATTTTATCTTTCTACCCATATCACCCGAAGCAATAACACCTTCCGAAAAAGAAAATTTGTTTTGTCTTTTTACTTTATTTTTGTTTCGCCCGAAGTGGTCACAAAAATATATGAAACTATTGATCGCTTTTCATAATAATAGGCCAAGTGACAGGGGTG